TGTGGATTCCCAGGAACTCCAGGGAAACATGCCATTCCAAGAACTAACTTAACTATTTTTGATTACTCTATCTCCTCTCCTTATTATAATTATACCTCTTACCTACTGAATTCTACTCACAAGTTTTTTCTTAACAACACAAGAATTTTTAATCCTCATGAACCATTGAGCCGCTATTACTCCCCAGGATGGGTCGCCCCTATCTATGTAACTAATTCCACAAGTCATTCCCGATCCTCCATTTATCCAGACTTATACAAATTGTTTGCAGCCACCAATATGATTATTTTTGATCGACCCACTAGTAGTGTTTCAACTATTTATAGTGTTAGAGCATGTGTTAATACCCCTCATGCAATCTTAATTGGGTCTATTCATACGGAGCAAAGGGGCTCCTCTTTTTATATTAACTGTTCTAATTGTATTTTAACCAACTGTATTGATCCTGGGCTTCCCAAAAACCTAACCACATTTCTCATAGTTTTTCAACCCTCGCATGTCCTAATGCCTGTAGTACTATCTGGAGATTGGTACGCTGATACAGGTTTGTATATACTAGAAAAGATAGATAGATTAATAAGACCAAAAAGATTTTTAGCCGCTCTAATATTAGGAATTACTGCTTTAATCAGTATAATAACCTCTATTGCATTATCAACTACCGCTTTAGTACAAGAAGTACATACTGCACAACATGTTAATCAGCTCTCTCACAATATTTCCCTTGCGCTAATTCTACAAGAAAAAATTGATAAGAAATTAGAAACTAGAGTAAATGCCTTAGAAGATACGGTTATATATTTAGGAAACCAGATTCAAAATATAAAGACTCAAATGACTACTAGTTGTCATGCAGATTTTAAATGGATTTGTGTCACACCTTTGCCTTATGATCAGAATTCCACCACTTGGTCTCAGGTAAAAACTCATTTGCAAGGTATTTGGCACGATACTATGTTAGGACCTGATCTTAAAGGCCTACATACTAAAATTACAGAAATTAGTCAAGCATATTTAACTGCGCCAGGTTCTGAAATTGCAGACAGAATCTGGAAGTCTATTCAAGAATCCATCAACCCTGTCATGTGGTGGTCTAGTTTAATACATATTGGAATCACTGGCCTAATTATTCTAATTTTAATCCTTGTTTTTCCAGTCGTCTTCCGAGTAATCCTCTCCTCCCTTCGAAAAACTACGTTGGAATTTCATCACTTTCGGCTGAAAAATAAAAGAGAGGGAAATGCCACGTCCACTGCCGCGTCCACTGTTGGATCCCTCTCTCCGTGACAAGGTCCTGAGAGGGGGGTGTAAGACTTCAAGGAAGCAGTTTCCAACCTGGTGGACGTGGCATGGAAGGCCTTGCAATACCTATTGTGATTGTGCTTGCTTTGGGGATCATGACCCTTTTCTGCTTTAATCATTATGAATACCCTGGCAGTGATTCAGATAGTGTGCCTGGACCTTTCCCGGCTCAATAAACAGAATAATAATATCATACTAGAACGTCAGGGAATATAGGCACAAGGAAACAATCAGAACAATCTGAGAATTCAAGCTTAATCAATAACAATCATTAGAAAAACACCCAAGATAAGATAGAATACTCTAGGAAATCAGGAGATGATCTCACTACTTTCTTAGAAGGAATTAAAGTACGATACATGTTTATAAAAAGAACTCCTAGAGAAACTTAAAAGAAGTACCCTTGAAAGCCCCCTGCTACATAGGAACAGCCCCTCCTTTACCTTGAATAGGAATATATATCAACTAGACAGGCAAAGTAATAACAAAAGCTAGTTAGTTATTACAAACTGAACAGTCACTAGGGAGTCAGAATTTATGGTACACTGAAAAAACATTTTAAGCAAAAAAAGGTAGATAGCTAAGTTAGACATCACGAGGGCTTCATAATAAATCTCCTATTTTCTCTACTCAGTCTAGCGTATCCTTATACCCTATACCAAATTCTGAGAAACTTTGGTATACAATAAGATATTAATGGTTTAACTGTCTGATTAATGGCTCTCCTAGTTAAAATAATTTTTTAACTGAATCTATGAGAACTTTCGTACTTTTACTGATTGCCTTTGTGTTGATTTTTTCTGCTTAAATGATCATGTTATACTGCAAATATTAATCACTACCTGAAATGAAAATTATAAAAACCTGCTTGTACTTTCAATAAACGGAACAGAGCTTCACTGTCCTTTGAGGCGTGTTGTCGTCTGTTACCCAGCGCCGACGCCTACCCTCACCTGTGGGACCCCCTGACCCGCTGCGGCTGGACCGCGGCAATGGCACAGGAGGATCTCAGAGCCCCAGAGCCAATAAATCTAAGCCATGAAGAAATAGCAAAACTCTCAGACGTACAGTTTAAAACACTGGTGATCAGGATCCTCATAGAACTGGTTGATTATAGCCACAAATTAGACAAATATATGAAGGTGAAACTAATTGAAATGAATGGAATTGCACAGGACACCAATAGCAATGAAAAGGAAACTGGGACTCAAATCAGTGGAGTGGACCAGAAGAAAGCAAATAATGGCCAAACAGAAAAGAGATGAAGAAGCAAGAATTCAAAGAAATGAGGAGAGTCTTAGGAACCTCCAGGACCTCTTTAAACGCTCCAACATCCGAATTATAGGGGTACCAGAAGGGGGAAAGGCACAGCCACCAGTGGAAAACTTATTTGAACAAATAATAAAGGAGAATTTCCCCAATCTGGCAAAGGGAAATAGACTTCCAGGAAATCCAGGAAGCTCAGAGAGTCCCAAAGAAGTTGGACCCAAGAAGGAACACACCAAGGCACATCGTAATTACATTAGCTAAAATTAAAATGAAGGAGAGAATCCTAGAAGCAGCAAGAGCTAAGGGGACAGTCACCTACAAAGGAGTCCCCATCAGACTGTCAGCAGATTTCTCAAAAGAGACCTTACAGGCTAGAAGGGGCTGGAAAGACGTATTCCAAGTCATGAAATCCAAAGACCTACAACCAAGATTGCTCTATCCAGCAAAACTTTCATTTACAATGGAAGGACAGATAAGGTGCTTCTCAGATAAGATCAAATTCAAGGAGTTCATCATCACCAAGCCCCTATTATATGAAACGTTAAAGGGACTTATCTAAGAAAAAGAAGTTAAAGAAACATGAACAGTGAAAGGACAGCAAACTCACAGTTATTAACAACCACACCTAAAACAAAAGCAAACTAAAAGGACAGCTAGATCAGGAGTGGAAACATAGAAATGAAGATCTCAAGGAGGGTTAGCAACAGGGGAGTGGGAGGAGGAGAAGGGGGGAGAAGGTACAGAAAATAAGTAGCATAGACAGTAGATAGAAAATAGATAGGGGGGGGCAAGAATAGCATGGGAAATATAGAATCTAAAGGACTTGAGACACATGGTCATAAACTAAAGGGGGGGTGATGGTGGGGATGGGGGGTAGGGTGGAGGGGAATAAAGGGGGAATAGAACAACTGTAACAGCATAATCAATAAAAAAAACAAAAACTCAAAAAAAATAAATTTTATAAAAATGGTAAAAAAATATATATATATTACAAATAAGACAATGAAAAAGACCCACAATGAGGGGAGAATAGGTAAAAATAGGCAGCCACACTAAAACTAAGAACACACGGAACAGACTGGGTACTTTCTTCTTCCACCTGCTAAAGACAAACACTCTTCACTGGCCACACACACAGCAGTTCCTGAAAAAGGGGGCGCGGGCGAGTGAAGAGAAGGGCTGCAGGCCTGTGAGGATGAGGACAGCTGAGAGCCGGGCGCGCTTCATCCGTGGTGCTCAGCAGAAGGCATCCACCCGGACACCACGGTCCCGGGAGCAGAGCCTGGTCCAGGTGACAGGAAGCTGGCATCACCAGCAGCAACACCGACAGCACCCTGGCCACACCGGAGGTATTCAGAAGACACGACCTTCCTGTAATGTGAGGAGGGCCGTGCCCTGCGACCAGCAGGCTCCCTCCTGGGAACCAGAGGCCGTGAATAAGGACGCTGGGAACAGCACTGGTTGTGACGTAAAAAAGCCACACACACAACGGAAAACAATGCCACTGGCCCATCAGGAGTAACAGGCGGAGAAGCTGTAATGTGTTAATTACGAGAACAGAGCACTGTACAGCACTGACGACACGTCAACGGTAGCTACACATGCAACACACGGGCGTCCAAGGCAACGCTGAGTAAACACAGACCCAACCATGAGCCCTGCAGCTTCATCTGCAGGAGGCCCGAGAGTGGGAGGAAATGAACGCGATGCGGAGAGATGCCCACAGGGTGGTGAGACAACAGGGACCCCAGGGACCTACCAGGTCAGACGGGGCGCCTGGCGCCGTGTGTCAGCCCGAGCGCTGGCAGCACGGGCGCCTGCGTGACAACCATCTATTCAGTGGTGTGCACACGTAACCTCTTTACACGTGCTATTTTTACAGTAGAAAAGTTTAAGAAGAGTGGGTCCGAGAACTTTACAAACCAGAACTACAGGCCTCTGAAAGTGACGTGAGCAACGTAAGAACAAAAACGAGGAAGAACCAGCACGCGAGGGCAGACGTGCAGCAGCAGACGGCGTGGGCGAGCGGCACGGCACCGCAGACCCGGGACTCCGCCTACCGCCCTGCTGTAGGGAAGCTGGTGTGTCCTGCGTCCTCCGCAGCACCACTCCCGCCAGCCAGGGACGGAGGACGGTGACCGCCACGGGCTGCGGGCACCCCAGGCATCCTCCGCAACTGGGCAGATGCTGGCTCCGTCTGCCTTCTGAACTTGCAAAGCCGTAAACCCTTGAGAGCAAGGGCAATTTCTCACTCATTTATCTTTCCTTAGGACTTGGCAGGTTGCGTAAAATTCAGTGAGCACTCAGAACGTTAATGAGTAAATTAAGCCAACACTTTCGCTTCTTGCAAAGGAGGAATTATCTTTAAAATAACGTTTCCCCTTTGAAGTGGCCCTGGTGAGTCCCTCAAACACACGCGGGAACCTTACTTTATGGGTGCGGTAGCTCCTCCCGGCCCTCCGAGCTCAGAAGGGGGCACGAGGTCCCACTTGAAGTGCAGCCCCCAGTTGAAGCCTCCGCGCACCACGGGGGATGAGCTGTAGGCCAGCGTGTCGGCACTGATGATGTCGATCACCGGGCACACGACTGTCCGCCGGTCCTCCTGGATGGCGGCCAGCAGGGGCTGCAGCCACATGACGTTGACTTCGCAGTGGCTGTCCAGGAACACCAGCACTTCCCCTGGGGGGGCAGAGACACGTGTGCGGTGCACACGAAAACATGGGTGTGCGTCACACACTGGAGCCCACCACACACAGCACAATGCGGTTCCTAATATTGTTTAAAAAACTGCCCTGGCTGGATAAGTACAGACTGCGAACCAAAGGGTCACAGGTTCGATTCCCAGTCAGGGCACATGTCTGGGTTGCAAGCCAGGTCCCCAGTGGGGGCCATGTGAGAGGCAACTAGACACTGATGTTTCTCTTTCTCTTTCTCCTTTCCTCTCTCTAAAAAAAATAAATAAATCTTTTTAAAAAATCAAATTTATTTTCAAAGATTGTTTTTTACCACGACCATAAATGACAATCAGGATCACCAATCTTACAGAGTTAAGCACAAGAACACACACGGTGGAGTCCATACAATGTAACTAAAGACTAACCAGTCCATACAATGTAACTAAAGACAGTTCCCCCGGAAGACTGTGAATCTGACACCTGCTCTGCCTCTGTGAAAAGGCAGAGGTGAGAGGAAGCAGGAACTCTCACAGATGTGGTGACACCAGAAGGGACTTTCTCCCTGATTTAGAAGAGGAAAATTCTAAAGAAAATACTTTATAGGTACGTAAGTCAATTTTTTTTTAAGATTTTATTTTTGAGAGAGGTGAAGGGAGGGAGAGAGAGAGGGAGAGACACAGACCTGAGAGAGAAACCACGACTGGCTGCCTCTCACATGCGTCCCAACTGAACACCAAGCTGTGATGCGCGCATGTACCCTGACGGGGAATCGAACTGGCGACCTTTCAGTTTGTGGGATGACACCCAACTCACTGAGCCACACCGGTCAGGGCTCTAAGTCGATTTTCAATATTATGTCTATTACCCAATGAAAATGAGGCACATCACCAGGTATGCCTTTGTACTCTAAGAATTATGGGCATAATTCAAATCTAACAGTTTGGGTATACATATTTTAAATTATGTGTTTAAAAAAGAACAAAACTTTAGTTGCATTTGGGTTTGGGCTGTTCTACTCATCTAGGTGAACAATGTGGAAACAACATGCTTTAGGGGCAGCAGTTAACCATGAGGGCCTTGAAGAAAACAGACCTGTGGGGACTCGGGGACTCACCGTGGAGTCTGTGCGGGGGGGGGGGGGGGGGGGGTGTGCTGCTGCCTTTTCCAAACTGAGCAAGTGCCAGATTCTAAGGGACACCCTTTCCAGACCTCTGCTGACTCAGCACCAGTGCCCAGGATGGCCCTCCTCACTCAGCACCACCAGGCAGCACCACCAGGGGGAGCTGTACCTGTTGCATGGGCTGCTCCAATCATCCTTCCTCGAATTAACCCCTCACGCTTTGTGTTTCTTATCACTTTAATTTTTCCAGGGAGCTGCGTTTGGACAAATTCATCTAGTTGTCCTTTCAAGTCATCTGAAAATAAAGAGTCCAGTAATTATTCAAACCCCATGAGACATACAAAAACATTGTATAGCTGCTCTAAAGCTGCTTCTGGTACTTGCAACAATCTGTCCAGCAAAGGCAGTAGAACCTTCTGCTTTGCTTTGAGAGAACACCACGCTCACCCTGTGAGAACAGACCAGGAGGGGAGGAAGGGAAGGCCCGGTGTCCCGGCCAGGACAAACAGCGCCTCAGTGACACACTCGTCCACACTCCGACAGCACCCAGCCAGCGTTCTGCATAATGAAGGGCCCTCTGACCACCCATCCATCGCGAAGTAAACAAGGGGAAAGTGTCTTTTGTTTCTAAGTAAGTTATCGAGTCCTACAGGACTCTGGAATAACTGAGAAGCGACGACTGCTGCCCCCACCAAAACTTTCATAACAGCAGCGGTGACTGTCCAAGGGTGAAGGACAGGGCCTGCTTCCCAGGCCGTCCTCCGTTCTGATGATGGATTCCTCTGCTGTCCGAGAGCCCATGAGTCTGACGTGGTCCCGTTTGCTCATTTTCCCTTTCATGCCCCCTGCCCAAGGAGATACGATGTTGCTAAGATCAGTGTCAGAAATTTTACTATGTGTTTCCTTCTAGGAGTTTTATGGTTTCAGGTTTTACACTTAAGTCTTTAATATATTTTGAGTTTGTTCTTATACATAGTATAAAAAGTTGGTCTGGTTTCTTTCTCTCTTTTTTTTTTTGCATGTGTCTGTCCAATTTTAAAACACCATTTATTGAATGAACTGTCTTTACCATATTGTATATTCTTGCCTCCTTTATCATAAATTGATCATACAGATGTGAGTTTACTTCTGGGTTTTCTATTTGGTTCCACTGATCTACGTGTGTATGTGTATGTTTCTGCCAGTACCATGCTGTTTTGATTACTATGGCCTGTAGTATAGTTTGATACCATGTAGCGTGACTCCTCCAACTTTGTTCTTTCTCAAGATTGCTGTGGCTACTCAGGGTGTTTTGTGGTTCCATATAAATTTTAGGGCTATTTGCTCTAGTTCTGTGAAGAACGCCTTTGGTATTTTGATGGGGACTGCATTCAATCTAGAGACTGCGCTGGGTAGTATGAAAATTTTAACAATGTTACTTCTTCCTATCCATGAACACATTATGTGCTTCTATTTATTTGTATCTTCCTCAGTGTCTAATAATTTTCCAAGTACAGGTCTTTTACCTCCTTGGCTCAATTTATTCATGAGTATTTCTTTTGAAGCAACTGTAAATGGGATTTTTTTTTTTAACCAGCCCATGAAAAAGATTTAGGTAAAAGACTCATAATGGGAAATCTGACAGTGTGGGTGAATCAAAGTAAGAATACTGCAACCACCTGATCAACCTTTACATCACCAACAATGAAGCAATGGATATCACGTGCTTCTTTTTTTCTAGTTTACATTGCACACTTTTTTGTAGTAGTTTCCGGTATACAGCACAGTGGTCAGATAATCACATTCTTCACTGAGTGACCCCTGACATTTCCAGCACCCACCTGGCACCGTACACAACTACGATATTATTGACTGTCATCTGTGCTGCACCTTACACCCTGTGACTACTGTTACTATTGATTTGTACTTCTTGATCTCTTCCCTTTTCACATCTCTGCATAAGACTCTGTTCAGCTAGTCTTCAGTAGGTTATTGAGTAGGTTATTCTGGCTGATTGTGCAGTAATTTAGCTATAATTCCAATTTGGTCCTGGCAGGAGGTGAGTATAACTTTTACCTACTCTGTAGCTATGTTGGAACAAACCCCAATGGGACTGTTTTCCTAATTCCTCTTTCTGATGGTTTATTACTTGTGTATAACAATGAAACCAAATTCTGAATACTGACTTTGTACCCTGCTACTTTACTGAATTCATTTATCAGTTCTAGTGGTTTTTTGGTGGAGTCTTTAGGGTTCTGTACATAATGACAGTTTTACTTCATCTTTTCCAATTTGGATGCCTTTTATTTCTTTTTCTTGTCTGATTGCTGTGGCTAGGACTTCTAATAGTATGGTGAACAAAAGTGGTGAAAGTGGACAACCTTGCCTTGTTTCTGATCCTAAGGAAAACACTTTTAGCTTTTCCCTGTTAAGTATGTTAGTTGCGGGTTTGTCATGCATGGTTCAAAATAAAAGATTTTTTTAAACATAAGCCAAGGGGAAAATTTCAAGGGCCAAATTTGGGTACAGGTTACCAAGGTCATGCAGCTTCTCCAAGCACACCCTGCACGCACCAGACAGGCCTGTATCTGTGACTGGCTCCATCGCAAGTGCGTGCACAGGGCTCTCCTACCCACTGTGTGGCGCGTGGTCAGCTCTGCTGATGCTGTGAGTGCTGCAGGGAACAGCAGCCGAGACCCCACATCACCGGGCACGGCACTCCTTACCGAAGTCGCTGTCGTCGTCCACGAGGATGACCTCATGGAGGAGCCGGGCCGGCGTGCGGTCCAGGACGCTGTGCACCGTCCGGAGCAGAGCGGACAAGGCTTCGTTGTAGAAACAAATGACGACACTGGCTACCGGCAGGTCTGCCGGGTATGTCTTGTCCTTACATCTGCAAAAGTGGATGGGAAGAACTTCAACACTGGACAGGCGTGAGTGTCTTCAGTCACTGTTATTCACCAAACATTAACTACTGCCTCATTTAGCCCCTTCCTTGCATTACAACAATTTTTTAAAAGCCATTCAAGAAAACAATGTGGTCTCTTACTCCAGAGTTTTCCATTTCTTAGCAATTTCTCCCTCTGGTATGTGTTGCTCTGCTTATGTTTATGTCAGCATTTTAAATTGATTTTTTTTTTTTGGTACTTATGTTACATAAAATCATTCAGATTTTAACACAGCCCTTGTAAGTTAATGACCAGCTTCTCCTCTATGAGGTTTCCAAAGACAATAACAGAAATATAAAACTTTATATTTGAAAATTTTATTTTTGCCCAACGAAAAAGACATGAGTAAACCATGATAATGGAAGAGCGTCCACGTAAGCAACTAATAGTTAGGTGGCTTTACTTGATGACAGCAAAAAACCACTAACTTCCTGACCCAAACCCGGAGTTCTGTGCTCTGCACGGCAGACGGCAGACGGGAGAGCCCTCCAGCGTCTGGGCCCCGCCCACCCCAGCCTCTTGCCGCTGGTCCACTGCAGCCAGAGTGGACCACACCCGTCCCTCTGACAAACTGTGCCGTTTCTGGCCTCCAGCTGCTCCCCACTCCCTGCACCGCTGCTCGGTCACCACGGCCGTGGAGCCTTCCCTAACCACTCTGGTTTGGCGGCCACTGCACCGATTCCCACCACAGACCTCATCCCCCGCTACTGCAATCACCTGCGTCCACATTTCCCTACCCTGTTGGACTGGGGGCCTGTGAACCCAGAAATGCCTTCCTCGGTTTATTCTGAGGCCTAGTGCAGTGCCTGGCGAACAGAAGATGTTCACCCCGGCCTGTGTGTGGAACGACTGACCAACCGTGTGAATAAAAAGTAAACTGGAGTTACAGCCAAATTTTTACCAGTCTAACTCAAAAAGCAACCGTATGAATAAAACACCTTTGACGAAACAAAAACAATGAAAACATAAAAGCAAGGTGATGAGCAAAATTCTTATCCTTTCTGCCATGAACCCGATAAATTAACATTTTTTAAATCTATGCTTAGGTTATATAATTATATGCAGTTAGAACATCTCTCCTTTTCGCCACATGATTTTCACTTTGAAGAGAGTCACTCCAGAACTCCATTAGCCCTGCCCCAGACCCTGTGGATTTGAGCAGGATGAGTGGGACTCTGTCCTAAGTCTCCTGAGTAACAAAGTCTAACTGCGCAGCGTCAGGGCCCAGCCAGGCACGCACGCTGCGCTCCGTGTGTCCGGCACGTCCCTGTGGTAGCCCAGGCGGTTGCTGATGAGCATGTTGAAGGCGTGCTTCTGGTAGCCCGTGTCTCTCAGCTCCTGGTCCTGCTCGTTGAAGATCATGCCTGCGGGGAGCGACGGTACAGTCAGCACACGGGGCCTGCGGAGGGTCACTGCAGTTACTATTTTGATCTTAAGAAAATCTTGACTTTCAGCTTTGATAACCAGATAACAGCCATATTTCTCAGTCCATTTTCAAAACAGTAAATGGAGGTTAGAGCCCAATTTTTATCAGTCCAGCTCAAAACCCAAGTGTCCCTCAACTATAAATGACACCTTCTCACCAGGCATAATCTTTTAAGAATATTTTCAAGAGAAAATCTTAACCTCTAACCGAGAGAGAAAGAACTTGCTGATTATTTTCTATAGAAGCAATAATCCTAGAACCCATACGGACTTCGGCAGGTCCCAGTCACAGGCAAGTCTGTGTGGGAAGCCCTCCCACAGGAGAGGGGAGAGCCCTCTGCAGAAAGTCACTGGTTCCAGGTGGGCGTGGCATCAGCCAGTAACCCCCCACAGAGCCAATCGAAATCCCTTCAGCCTAACATCCCCACGGCCACATCCCAGACTGAGCCTCCCCCCACACACACTGCCCTGGACACAGCAGACAGCAGACAGCAAGAAGGGCTGACGGGCAAGTCGGTCAGGCACACACTGGCGTCACAAGTCGGATGGTGTTTGACGGCAGGACACCTGGGACCTGGTGGCTGTGTGGATACCCAGGGGAGAGGAAAGAGGCCATGGAAGGCGGTGTCCCCCAGGTGTTTGACTGCGGGACTGGAGTTCCCAGATGGACTTCGGGAAACACTGCCCCTTAGTTCACTCTGGCCGGAACTTGTAAAGTCAGAGCGCACCCAGAGCTCTCAGCGTTTGTGTGGGGACAGAACTCCGCCAGAGTGGAGATTCTGGCTGTGTTCACAGGAAGAGAAATGAAATAAAAATGGCTCCATACCCAGCATGTAAAACAGTGCCCTGCACAAATCGGAGTCTCAGTAAAGACTCTTGGGTTCAACAACTATCAAAGGACTACCTCATACCAAAAACCATTATTTTCTAATAAGGATCTCTGGGTGAAAAACTACTCTATACTAAAACATCATTTTATGTCCATCAACAAGATGAGTGGGTAAGAAAATGTGGCATACACAAACATAATGGAACAACACTCAACCATAATAAAAAAGGAAATCCTGCCATTTTCACCAACATGAATGAATCTCGAGGACGTTATGTGAAGTGAAGTAAAGCAGAGAAAGACAAAAACTGTATGAATCTCACTCACACAGGGTGGGGCAAAAGGAGGTTTATAGTTGTGACTTTGCAAAGCAGAGTTTACTCTCCTATCATTACCTGTTATCTATCGTGTTATTTCCCACACCAATGACTGTAACCTCCTCTGCCTCACCCGTGTATGGACTCAGGTCTGCCCCCCCGATTCACCCCCCCTAAATTTTGGGTATTAACCCCCCTAAATTTTGGATGTTAACACCTTATCAGATGTATTGGTGAGCATGTGCTCCCCTTCAGTGGGTTGTCTTTTATTTTACTGGCAGTTTCCTTTGCTGTGCAGAGCTTTGTGGTTTGCCGTAGTTCCGGTTGTTTATTTTTCCTTCTGTTTCCCTTGCCTGAGAAGATGTATCGGACAAAATATTCCTGTGGGCAGTGTCTGAGGTTTTACTGCCCACGTTTCCTTCTGGGGTTTTTATGGTTTCGGGTCTAACATTTATTTAAGTCTTTAATCAATTTCCAATTTGTTCTTGTGCGTGGCAGCGTAAGAGGTGGTCTAGTTTCGTTTCTCTGCACACATCTGTCCAATGTTCCCAACTCCATGCACTGAATAAACTCTCTTTAGCCCACAGCATGTGCTTGCTCCCTGCCAAGTGTCGGTCGACTAAAGCTGTGGGTGTACTGCCGGGCTCTCCGTTCTGTTCCACTGCTGTGTGTGAGTTCTTATGCCAGGACCGGGCTGTTTTGATGACTATGGCCTTGTCATACAGTTTGGTATTACGTGGTGTGATTCCTCCACCTTTGTCGTTCTTTCTCAGGATTGCCTGTTGCTATTCGGGGTCTTTTGTGGTTTCATGTGCATTTTTGAAATATTTGTTCAATTCTGTGAAACAATCACTGGAATCTTGACGGGAATGGCACTGAACCTGCAGATCACTTTGGGCAGCGTGGACAGCGATTCTTCCCGTCCACGACACGGCGCGCGCTTCCACTCACTTGTGTCTTCGGCTTCTTTCCTCCGTGTCTTGTAATTTCCCGACTGTTGACAGCGCCCTACTCAGAAGTCAGTGTGCTTTTAACTGTTACTACACCAATTCCAGTCCGTTCCTTTTGGATGAACTATTCTCTGTTAAAGAATTTCATGGTTTTTTTCCACTGCCTGGAGTATGGTAGCACATACCGACATGTAGTGTGCATTCGTGGCCTTCAGCGTGTTTCCAGCCGTGCACAGGCATCACACCACACAGCTGCAGAACGTTTTCACCGCCCCGAGAGGGCATCCTGGACCGTCAGAGCCGTCACCACCCTTTCCGCTCTCCCTCGGCCCCAGTAAACCACGCCTCTGCCCTGTCTTTGAATTTGATTACTCTAGACATTTGTGTAAAAGAAATCACACAGTATTTGGCCTTCTGTGTCCTGACTCCTTCACTTACAACGTTTTTAAGATTGACCCCGTTGCAGCACGCAGCGGAACTCCATTCTTCCCGTGCCCGTACAATACCCATTGCATCGATACCACCTGCACTCCGAGTTTTGTTCAGACCCGTGTGCAGCTCTTTCAGGTGTGTGCTCGGGAGTGGAACGCGGATCTGGGGCATATACACAGTAACTCCACACTCACTCATTGAGGACTCTTTCAACCGAGGCTGCACCGTCTCACATTCACACCAACAGTGCAGGAGGGTCCCAGTTTCTCCACGTCCTCGCCAACACTTGTCACTTCCCTTTTTAAAAATTGTAACCATCCTAGCGAATGTAAAATGGTACCTCATTGTAGGTTTTGTTTGCAGTTCTACAACTAATATGTTGAATGTTTTATGTGCTGGTTTCTCCTTTGGAGAAATGTCTGTTGAATTCTTTGCCCAACTTTAAACGAAGCTGTTCATTTGTCCCTGTGCTGCTGAGTTGGTAAGAGCTCTTCGGACGTCCTGGTAACGGGCCCACTGGTGAGACTGCAGACACTCTCCCCGAGTCCACGGTTGTCGTCTTCATTGTCTTGGTGGCATCCTCTGATGTGTGAAAGTTTTTCATTCTCATGTAGTCCAGTTTATCTATTTTTTTCTTTTGTTGCTTGTACTTTTGGTGTCATAGCTAAGAAACCATTGCCATATCCAGGGCCATGAGGATCTAACCCTGTGACTCTTTCTAAGTGTTTTATGATTTTAGCTTACGCTTAGGTCTGATGCCTTTTGAGTTAGTGTAATTTGTATCTGTGTTATGAGTTGAGGGTCCAACTTCATCCCTCTGCGTGTGGGTAACTAACTAGTTGTCCTAGCGCCACTCATTGAAAAGACTATTCTTTCCCCACTCAGTGGTCTTTGCACCCTTTTTGAAAATCAGTTGCCCGCAGATGTCCCTGGGTTCATTTTAGAGTCATTAGCCTGTCCGTTCATCCGTGTCTGCCCTTACACCAGTACCGCCCTGTTTGATTACTGTAGCTTTGTAGGAACTTTGGAAATCAGGACGTGTGAGGAGTCCAACTTCGTTGTTTTTTTTTTTTTTTTTTTTCCAAGATCGTTCTGGCTATTCAGAGCCCCTTGCAGTCTGTGAACAAAAGAAGGGGTTCTATGGAAAGTGACCTCCCGGGGCCCTCTGATCATACATTCCTAACTGGTCTGGTCGTGCTGGGTGGTCACGCCCCAGGCACACAACGTCTTTGCCGAAAGGCCTGTCTCTGCCCATTCCCGCCCTGCCCGTGGTTTCCACATACCCAGGTTAGCCGCCCCTGCGAGGGGCCCCTTCCGGGCCTTTTCAGAGGACACACAGTCTTCACCTCCCTTCAGCCCCGCCCCTGAGCTGCTTCCTCCCGCCTCCCTGTGCCCTTTCTTCCATCCCCTCCCCACCCCCCACCCCCCACTTCTCATGCACGCTGCAAACTGCTTCTCTCAGACGCACTGACAGTGCACTGATCTGGGGCAGTGACATCTTGCTTCCAGGTATATCCTCTTTTTGGCTCAAATAAATTTTTATAAAAATTCTCTAAAGGTTTGGACATTTCTTTGTCGACAAATCCATATTAATTTTGGAATCGGCTCTCCCACCTCTTCAACCAAGGCTGCTGGGATTTTGGTAGAGTCTGTGTTCCATCTGTGCTTTGCATAGCACTGACATCTCGGCAGCATTCAGCATGCCAGTCCATAAACCTAGGATGTCTCTCCGTTCGTTTAGAACTACCATGATGTTTTCCAGCAGTGGTTTGTAGTGTTCAGTGTATAAATCTTGCACTTCCCCGGTTAAGTTTATTCCTCAGTACGTTATTCTTTTGGATAGTATTGTAAATGTAACTGTTCTCTTAATTTTATCTTCAGACCAATTGTTAATAGTGTACAGAAATACAACTGCTTTATGTGTGTGTTGGTCTTATATACCCTCCAACTTTGCTCAATTCATTTATTGGCTGTAATAGTTTTTTTGTGTACTCTTTTGAATCTTTTATAAAGAATTTAGTTGTTCGGTCAAGCAATTTGAGTTTGGTACTTCAAATAGCTACAGTTCTCTCACTTCTTCTTTCAAAGGCAAATACAATGTCCATTCAAAATGGTAAACTAGCCCTGGCTGGTGTGGCTCAGTGGACTGAGCACCAGCCTGTGAACTAAAGCATAGCTGGTTCAATTCCCAGTCAGGGCACATGCCTGGGTTGTAGGCCAGGTCCCCAGTAGGGGGTGCACAAGAGGCAACCACACATTTGATATTTCACTTCCCCTCTTTCTCCCTCCCTCTAAAAATAAATAAAATCTTTTAAAAAATGGTTAACTTATAGAAGCGTTACCAAAATAACTATGAATAAAAAAACTAGATAGTCTTAAAATGTCTGAGTGGCTTTTTGAAAAAGACTAGAAGGTGTATTTCATGAAAACTGAAGTTTTATAGCTTCTGTTTCTTCATATAATTTTAAGTACTTTTGACTTCATGTATTAGAATATCATTGTCCCAGAAAATTATTTTTTTCTTTGAAACCATGGTCAAATGAAGAAAATGTTTTACCACTTCCTTTATATTCTGTGAACCTTTCAACCTCTCAAAATCTTTTACTAATTACTTATCTGATGCTTCCATGACAAGATCAATTTTTTTTAAGTTTTAAAGAAAACCAAAAGGGCTCATTTATCCCATATTAAAATAAAGCTTGCTAAAACCAGTACTCTAGAATTATAACATTCAAAACTTATACAGTACATTCTTGCTGCCAAACTGAATAGAATGTAATTTTTGAAAAAAGAAAGTTTCTGTGTTATCGATTCCTGTATTTGACAACTATATTCCAACACCTCCATCACTCTGATCAGAAATTCCGCATCGGCCATCGCAGCTGATTCCCAGACCGGGTGGCTGCTGCTGCTGTGAGGAATCGCGGTGACCCTGCGCCTTCCCCGAGGCGTCAGCGCAGCCGTGTGTCACTCCTCTCTCCCCTTGTTAAACAATGACAGCAGTGAAGTCTCCCCAGAGGCTCCACTGTCTCTCCAGCCACTCAACTGTTCATCTTCCTTTCTGGATCTTACTAGTCTCTCCCGATCCATGCAGAATACTGACTTTGGAATCAGACATACTAGAACACCCCTCTCAGTCTGCAAAAATCATAAGGACGTCAGCTAGCCCATACGTGGAATAACCGACTGGGAAAAGACAACATTTCTAATCACCTGAGCAACATATGATGAGAAGAATAACTGAAACTTAAACTTGGACACGCTGGTGGCAGAAATCAAACACACTTACCCAGTTCAGAAGAGAACTTCATGGTGCCTCTCTCTGCGCCTTCAGCGTGACCGTTCACCCTGCCACCGATCTTGTTTGCCCGGAACTGCTCCTCCAGCTCCCGGCTGGGGCCTCGTGTGAGGCGGGGATGGAACTTCTTGGAGAATGGCCCGTGGGGCCCAGACCCCTTGATGGGCACATGCCGAAGCGGCTGAGTCACTTCACTGAAGTTGAAATAAAAAAAAAGCAGAACCGTCCAGGTCGCAGAGGTAAAAAGGCATCCATAGCAGAAGTAGCGAACTGTGGCACTTCCCATCATAGACCTAGCACAGCCGAAGGGCCATTGTCAGTTTCCTGAAAGAAAAGGACAGAACATTAGCCACCCGGGTCACCTGGGAATTGCTACCAAGCTCCGAGTCACTGTCACCCAAGGTGCCTTTCTCTGCCTTCGTCCTGGACTGCTTCCAGCTTGGAGATTTTCTTCAGACTCCAAGTTTTAAGAGGAAAATGCCAGTACATTACATGAAGGCACATCTAAGACTCCTTCCAAACATAAAGTCACAAGACTGGCTTTAACCCAAGAACCTTAAAATCTGCTTTAAAAATAAGCAGCTTAAACAAAATAGTCCTACTTTCTGATCAAAAATTAAACCTACCCTAATGCTGCTCCAGATTAAACAGTTACATGTTAAGTTTATAATTGAAAGAGTTCAAGTTCTGTTTTCCTTCTTATGGTGGCCAATAACCAATACAGCACCGCAGGTTTCCCTGAGCTTTCTGATGACACCTGGTCTCCGTGGCGACCTCACACGCTTCCCGAGGGCGCTCTGAGAAGAGACCAGTGGACCCACAGGACAGTCTCCCAGGGCATCAAGGCAGGGAAACCCCACGTAAGTCATGCGCACACAGAGGAAATGTACAAAGCGGTACTGACTCATTGCTTCTCGTTTCTACAATATGAAATAATTAAAAAAATAACGGTGCCATCTCTCCACCCCCAAATCTCAGGACAAAGCAAATCAGCATCGGTTAAGTCTCACCTGAGACATGAAGCTGTTTGGTACATTATGCCATAAGCCTCGAAGAAGAAGGTGGTGGGTAAACAGCTCAATTCCTTGTCTATCTACCAACCAAGCAGTTATTTTACTACGTGTCGATTGAAAAGCTTAAAAAGCAAACAAAACCAATGAGGACACCAAACAAAGCCCCCACCACAACCATGCTGAAGCAGCGGCGGGAAATGACTGCCACGTTGGAGCACCACCCTGACACACCAAGGTTGCGGGTTTGATCCCCAGTCATGGCACATACACGAATCAGCTAACAAACATATAAATAAGTGGAATAACAAATCTTTCTCTCTAAAATCAAGCAATAAGTTTTTTTTAATTCAACACCTGATTCTTAGGAAACTAGGAATAGAGAAATCCTTAACCTGACAAAGATATCTCCAAAAATCTTAGAGCAAAAATGATCCTCACTGGTAAAGTGATAAAATCGTTTTCTTTAGAAACAGGACCAAGACAAGGATGCCACATCAGTTCTCGTGTTGCACTGTCATAAGTACAGTATTCGAGGGCGTCCCTCCAAAATGCTGGAAGCCCTGCACGTTTGTTAGAAGTACCAACTCCCGGGGCTGGGCCGCGCGGGCCCATCCAGCGCATGCGGAGGTGAGGGGAGGGGTCGAGGGCTTTAATCGACGCCCTGATCCGTTCTGATGTGAGCAGCCGGGAGCCCACAGGATGAAGACAAGATTAAGCTCAGCCCCGACCCGTCACTCACTGGCTGTGCGACACTGGAAAATTACCAAATCCTCAGAATCTGTCCCAGTTAACAGTACTGCCTGTCTTAACTGGACACTTCCCATTAAATAAAATACCTGGGACTGTATGAGATGGCGCATGTCAAACACCAAATACCAAGGTTAACACACACAGTCTGCAGTGGACGGAGGCATCCCCCACAGACTCGGCTGGTTTCTGTTGTCTGTTCACTGTATTCCCCTCCCTTATCATTATTAGCACAGGGACAGGCACACAGAGGACGCTGAAAAACCCCTACAGGATACAAGAATACAGAAGGAACGTTAGCTCTCCCTCCTCTTCATCAGTTCCAAATCTAATGTCTCACAGGAGTGGTACGTGTGACCATCTGTTCCTTACAGTGACTGCTGCTCCGAAGGGAACCTGGCTCTACCTCTGCGACCAGGTGTCCCACTGGGCCTCTCTCCCACCGAGGACGTGTGCATCAGCTCTGGCTCTTCCCTCTGCTGGGAGCACTTCATCCCAGGTCCCGTCCCCCTGCTGTGTCCCCACACAGACACACCCGGGCAGGGCAGCAAGGCTCTCTCCGCCCACCCTGACGTGGGACTGCAGCTCGGCCACCCAGCTGCGGCCCGGCTTGTCTCCCCTGATCTGGGCAGCCTGCCGCCTCGCCCACCACACCATTCCTCACTCGTTACGTGTGCCGTTCACCGTCCGTGCCCCTGCTAGAACGTCCACTCTGTCAGAGTACAAGCTTCATCCCTCCCACTTCCTGTAGCGACCCCCAAGCTTGTAACAGAAGTGTTGCACACAGCCAACACTTCATGACACTCGCTGAAAGCCACAAGAGGCGATCACTGACCCAGTCACCGACACACTTGCACAATGCCGGGGCTCCTATGTAAGTGGGTTTCCACCCTGTCTGAGCCACTCGGTGCCTTTGAGCAAAGCCTGGAAACCCCAACGGCCTCATCCCAGCAGCAGTGGGAGAAGCGGGCAGTGCAGCAACCAAACCCATCACCAGAGAAGGTGCAAGAGCACAATGGCTCTGGCTGCCCCGTTTCACAAAGCGAGTGTCTGCGGTGAAAACAGGAGCTGGCGCTCCACCGTGTTTGCTGTCAGCACCTGGGGCAAAATGAAGCCAGTTGCCCTCAAGCCTCACGCACAAGGGCCCAGTCCGCGTGGACGCCCGCAGAGCGACACCCACGCCCGCCCTCTGCACAGCAGCAGCTGTGGGGTCCTCGCTTCCTGAGCTGTGAAATGTGTGGAACGACTGAGTCTTGATAACCCTACTGGGTGAAAACTGTTTTCCTCACACCATACTGTGGAAGTCTTGTTTTAAAAAGTTTATTGACTTTAGAGGGAGATGGGGGGAGAGGATGCCTCCCACCCACGCCTGAAGGGAGACCAGCCCACAGCCCAGACACGGGCTCTGGCACACCCAGCCCTTTGAGGCGCAGACCTCATCCCCCGAGAGGGCGCACAAGGCCCGGGCGCGTGATGAACTGCTTCGGAGAACATCTGACATTGTGAATCATTACACCAAGTTAGGGAGCCTCTTAAAAACAAGAGATTTATAAAATCTTGCCATTCCTTTTGTACTGTCAGCTCCAGCAGCCACCATAAAGCAGCAGCAAAGATGTCAGTGTTTAGTCAGGCCAACAAGCCGACACCCAGAAGATGCGGTGCGACCGGGCGCCGATCATTTTGTAACAGGTCCTTACCTGCCTAGGAAATCAAACCCTCTGAACAAAAATCAGAGGCTGAGCCCTGAGTCCACCTGTGCTGATGAGTCCCGAAGCAGCAGGCACAGAGCAGACAGTCTCGCCGCGTCACACCGTCTGCTACCTCTCCACAGGCGGTGCGACTCAGTGTCCCGGCTGCACCTGCCACGAGGACGGTGGGAGCGGACTCGTAGAAGCTGGTTAATACCACACAACAGTGAACAAAGTCCTTCAGTCAGTCATACACCTGAATAGCTAATGAAGCCAGAGCGTCAGCAGTGCAGCAGCACTGGGATCTGTTTTCCAAAAGGTCAGTGAATGAGAGGCTGACCAGCTGTGCACACAGTTTCAGCAACCCAGGCGGTGCGGCTTTATGTTTCCTTAGGTCACGGCCGGCACTTGGGGACAGGGCCCTGGCAGCTGGTGTGGAAGGACGAGGGGCGTGCGCACTGTGAGCTGCCCAGAGGACAGAGCAGGGTCAGGGCCAGGCAAAGGAGAAACGGAAGGGCGTGAGAGGCGTGGCCGAGCGATCAATGGAGTTCTGTCCCCTGAAGGGGTGACCTGGAGGACTGAGCACAGTGACTGGGAACGGCTGCCAGCCCTCAGACTATGGAGGAGTGCAGTGGGGACAGAAGAGTCCTCTCCAGACCCGCCGCCTGGAGACCCCTGGTGGACGCGGGGCCACAGCACAGGCCCACCTCAAAGCCTTGCTGCCGCCGCCATCAGCCTCTACTTGTCACACAGACGCGCACAGCGACACAGCGTTCGGGGCCCCAGGAGACCCCAGTCGGTCTAAACCCAGCATCGTTACCAGACTAGAGTGATGTGTATGTATTTCTCAGCAGCACCACGGCTGGAGCTGGAAGACTCATTTGAGATGCTTTTCACAGTCAGCTGTTACTAACGAAGAACACAGCACACACCAGTAACTAAATTTGCTCCATAAAGTACTTAAGTCGTGTGACATTTGCTGAGACAGTCCCTGTAATGTGATGATGTCGAGGCACCGTGAGCCACCCCACTGATCTTCCAGCTGCAGTCTATTCGATGCACCAAGTGATCCAGCAGTTTTCGTCTGAAAACCAGCACGCAGTCCTGACAGAAAGGCTCACACTAACAACACAGCAGGGGCCTGTGCACCAGACACCCAGGCAGGGGGCTCAGGGTCTGGATTTTAAGCTCTGCTATCATGCTAAAAAATCAGAAGTACACATGATCAGACAAGTTAAAAATTGAACACCACCTGAAATCTCACCACTATTGACGTGAGGCTGTAAATGCTCCCACTTATTTTCACTCTCTCTACCCCGGCTGTGAAACGGTATCTGCTATGGGCCCTTAGGAACAAAGGTGGAGAGGACTGAACATGTTAACGCTTTGAATCTCAGAAGTGCCATGTCCACTGCCACGTCCACTGTTGGATCCCTCTCTCAGTGACAAGGTCCTGAGAGGGGGTGTAAGACTTCAAGGAAGCAGTTTCCAACCTGGTGGACGTGGCATGGAAGGCCCTGCAATACCTATTGTGATTGTGCTTGCTTTGGGGATCATGACCCTTTTTGATTTAATCATTATGAATACCCTGGCAGTGATTCAGATAGTGTGCCTAGACCTTTCCCGGCTCAATGAACAGAATAATAATATCATACTAGAACGTCAGGGAATATAGGTACAAAGAAACAACCAGAACAATCTGAGAATTCAAGCTTAATCAATAACAGATCATTGGAAAAACACCCAAGATAAGATAGAATACTCTAGGAAATCAAGAGATAATCTCACTGCTTTCTTAGAGAGAATCAAAGTACAAAACATGTCTATAAAAGAACTCCTAGAGAAACTTAAAAGAAGTACCCTTAAAAGCCCCCTGCAACATAGGAATAGCCCCTCCTTTACCTTGAATAAGAATATATATCAACTACACAGGCAAAGAAATAACAAAAGCTAGTTAGTTATTACAAACTAAACAGTCACTAGGGAGTCAGAATTTATAGTACACAGAAAAACATTTTAAGCAAAAAAAGGGTAGATAGCTAAGTTAGACATCACAAGGGCCTTATAATAAATTTCCTATTTTCTCTACTCAATCTAGCGTATCCTTTTGCCCTATGCCAAATTCTGAGAAACTTTAATATACAATAAGATACTTCTAATTGTCTGATTAATGGCTCTCCTAGTTAAAATAATCTTTAACTAAATCTATGGGAACTTTCGTACTTTTACTGATTACCTTTGTATTGATTTTTTCTGCTTAAATGATCATGTTATACTGCAAATGTTAATCACTACCTAAAATGAAAATATAAAAACCTGCTTGTACTTGCAATAAACGGAACAGAGCTTCACTGTCCTTTGAGGCGTGTTGTCATCTGTTACCCAGCGCCGACGCCTACCCTCACCTGTGGGACCCCTTGACCCTCTGCGGCTGGACCGCGGCACAGAAGCAAATGGGGATTTTAGCATGCTAAAAGGAAGGGATATTTTAATTCTACTAATTTGTCAAAAACTTAAGAGTGAAATTTGAACAATGAACAAGTAGTCTGAAGACACTATTTGAAGATCGGGTTTTTTTCTACGAACCACTGCCTCGTTCAAAATTCCCACACCTCTTCCCCTGTGCATTGTTTTTAGGACAGGACCAGGGACGCAGTTCTGTTTAGCCAAACAGGACAGCTTTCGTTTTCCTGTAGAGCAAAATGACCTTCATAATACCTAATGTGGTTCAAAATGTCTCCCTTTAAATGTTACACATTCACCTCTCAGGGGTTTCCAGCCGTTTTCTCGTCAGTACACTCTCTAAGTTGCCCAGCAGCAAACATTTGTTAGCTTTCTCCCCACGAGAGACATGCTCAGGTCTCGGCTACGCCGCACTCGCCGAGCACAAGCAGTGACCCGCAGCAGCGCCCTCCCGAATGTCCGTGAAATTACCAGGTGATGACAGCACAGGAACGCACCTTCTCCCTCCTCATTCCCCGCCCACCCGCCAGACTAGAAGCAAACCCTGGCACCAGTGCGCGGCATGGCTGCAAGTGCAAGATCATGGATGGAGGAGACACTCGGGCGAATTCCAGACATCACACGCTCCCTGAAACCAACCCTCTGACAGCCCCAGAGGTTTCTGAGCCCCTCGGAGAAAATCCACAGAGAACGTAAAAACAGACAGTGTCTCTACTTGTACCTTGAATGCATGGGAAGACCACATGGTGAGGTTGATGGGAGAAAAGCAAAATTAATCAATTGAACACTAAAAATGAAACCGAAAGGGCAGACGCCATGACAAAGCAGCCATGGCCCCCGAGTCCGCTCAGGGAAACGCCCTCTGGGCATCGGTGCCCGCCTCGGTCCCGGTGCGTCAGCCCGCAACGTGCCAGCATGGGGGGTCACGAAACGGACTGCAGTCAGAAGCCAAGCAGGTGAATGAGGAAGGCCAGGGGGAATGGGCCTTGCCCCTGACCTAAACAAACTCAGGTCCCCGCAGCTCTGCTGCTCTGCCAGCCTCCAGGCCGCACCCCCAACAGACACACAAGACGCCCGGGAGCCTAGTACACCACCCCCTCCACACCAAACCTGGAGAACAATGGTCTCCTGTTCTCCTCCTCTTCCTCATAAAGAGGGGACCGAACCCAAAGGACATCCGGAGGGTGACCACCTCCAGAAAGCACCACCGCACCTCCCCTGCCGTCCGAGCCCCGCCCTGCTTCCTCCCACCCTCACGGAATCTTCCCTGCGTGCCCTCCTTAATTCCAAATGCACAAAAGAAGCTGCAAACTCATTTTTTTAAATTTTATTTACTTTTAGAGACAGGAGGGAGGGAGAGAAACATCAATGTGAGAAAGAAACATCGACTGGCTGCCTCTTGTATATGGCCAGACAGGGCACCAAACCCGCAACCCAGGCATGTGCCCCGACCTGGAATCGAACCAGGGACCTTTCGCTTTGTGGAACGATGCCCAACCCACTGAACCATGATGGTCAGGGCTGCAGAGTGTTTTTACAAAAATCTATCTGAGCCAAACTGACGACTTATGCTGCAGAGCAAGACCTCAAATGCCCCCAAGATGACAACTGAGCAGTTTCTCTGGGGGAACAAGGAACATTCCAGGAGGGTGGGAGACAGCAAAGCACGCGGGGACAGGGCGCCAGGAGAGGCAAGACTGTGTGTTGTTTGGAGAGTGGGTGAGCACGAGAAGGATGGCTGTGTCAACCTGGACACACAGCGGCACCAGTCAGGGCTTGAGGCAGAGCTAAACCCTTCACCTAGCCCCTCACATTCCTGGGTCGTGAACCCCCCCATGACCTGCCCAGGTAGAAAGGGATGCCCAGATCACCCCATGAGGTGCTTTCCACAGAACCTGTTTTTCCATCCACACCTCACCAGGTGCGCATAAATGTCCAACTGCTACATTTTATACCTGAGAGTAATGTAATAATGTACATCAACTACCACTGAAAGATAAATTTTTTAAATTAAAAAATGGTGGGTGACTTCTGTTTAGCAGCCCACTCCCAACCTTAGAACAAGAGGAGCTGGACAGATAAAAATCAGTGGCATTTCCGGACCAGTCGGAGAACTCGGGTACAGGGCAAGCTGCCACCCCAACCTGGAGATGCTCAGCGGCGTCTGCTCACCTGGGGCAAAGGCCTCTGGAGCAGGGAACTGGTGCGAGAGGCTCGGTGCGAACTGGGGTGGGAGTGAGACACCCCAGGGTGCAGTCGTGGGGGGTGGGCGCTCTTCTGTGGGCTTTACCTCCAGGAACCCCACAAGGTCCTCAAGGTGAAGGTGAAGGTGAAGATCCCGGAAAGGCCCTCTGGCGAATCTGGCAGGGAGGGAAAGAGTAATCAGTGTGAAACACACCAAGAGCCTCCTGTATAAAAATGGCTGGGACAAGACGCCCCTCCCACTCCAGCCCTGTCCAGCCCTCCAGTCAAACAGAAGAAATGAGAGATAATCAGCAGAGGTCAAGGCCTGGAGGAGACAGGGAACTCTGCAGCAAGAGCAGGGACTGGGCCGAGAGGGGAAAGGAAGCCACGCCACTTGTGGAGGACACAGGCCAGACTTCCTGGGACCACCACAGGGGTCTCACCAGCCCTCTTGCTCTGCCACCAGAGCGGCAGCTGAAGACGCCTTCTGCTCTAGCCCACGCTCACCAGTGCAGACCACCTTCTGGGCCACAAAACACAGTTTACCAGACATGAGAATGCAGGATCAATGAAATGAAACTAGAAACCCATAAAACAAGACAAAAAAAAACCAAAACCCTCAGATATCTGGAAATTTAAATAGTATCAAGAGAACTTTAAAATTACTTTGAGCTAAAAATGCAACATGGAAATTTGCGGGATGCAGCAACAGCAGAACTTAGAGGGAAATTTAGCGTTTAAGTGATTATGTTAGAAAAGAAGAAAGGTGTGAAATCAATAACCTAAGCTTCCACCTCAGAACCAGAGAAAGAGGAGCAATTTAGGAGAGGTGAGGACTTCCGCCAAGATGGAGGCATAGGTGGAGACGCCGTGCTTCTTCACACAACCAAATTTAGAGACAACTAAATATCAGCAACAGAAAACAGCCACAACACAGAAAACTGAACTTTTTGGAAGTCTGATAACAACAAATTCTTCAGCCTGACCGGTAAGAGGGGCGAAACCAGCAGCTGGCAGAGCGGGGTAGCACAGGAAAACTCGGTCAGATGGTCTCAGGTGCGTGGAATCCAGGCACAGGGTTGGACCTGGTGGGCAACTCAGCAAGCAATTGCGGGGAAACAGCAAGGGAGCAGGGTTGTGGACTGACTGTGGTCGCGCATTAATGTGTGGATAGACAAGCGAGGGAGAGGGAGTGGGTGACTGGACGAGAGCCAGCAGCCCCAGCGGCAAGCAGCGGTGGAGGGCACCGCCATTCGCCCGCTCTAACCCCGCCTCCACATACAGCGTCATAATCCAGCGACCTAAGTGGCCCTGCCCCGGTGAACAACCTAAGGCTCTGCTCTTCACCCAGTGGTGAGAAACAGCAGAGGGGGCCGCCATTTCCCCTCTCTGACCCCGCCTCCACATACAGCATCACAACCCAGCGACCTGGGAGTCCAAGGCTCCGCTCCCCAACCTTAACGGGCGTGAACAGACCAAAAATGGCTCAAGAAGATCTCAAAGCCCCAGAGCCTAGAAATCTAAGCCATGAAGAAATAGCAAAACTCTCAGATGCAGAGTTTAAAACACTGGTGATCAGGATGCTCACAGATCTGGTTGATTATAGCCACAAATTAGACAAACATATGAAGGCGAAACTAATTGAAATAAATGGAATTGCACAGGAAACCAACAGCGATGAAAAGGAAACTGGGACTCAAATCAATGGAGTGGACCAGAAGAAAGCAAATAATGGCCAAACAGAAAAAGATGAAGCAAGAATTCAAAAAAATGAGGAGAGTCTTAGGAACCTCCAGGACATCTTTAAACGCTCCAACATCCATCCGAATTATAGGGGTACCAGCAGGGGGAAAGGCACAGCCACCAGTGGAAAACTTATTTGAACAAATAATAAAGGAGAATTTCCCCAATCTGGCAAAGGAAATAGACTTCCAGGAAATCCAGGAAGCTCAGAGAGTCCCAAAGAAGTTGGACCCAAGAAGAAACACACCAAGGCACATCATTATGACATTAGCCAAGATTAAAATGAAGGAGAGAATCCTAGAAGCAGCAAGAGCTAAGGGGACAGTCACCTACAAAGGATTCCCCATCAGACTGTCAGTGGATTTCTCAAAAGAGACCTTACAGGCTAGAAGGGGCTGGAAAGACGTATTCCAAGTCATGAAATCCAAAGACCTACAACCAAGATTGCTCTATCCAGCAAAACTTTCATTTAGAATGGGAGGACAGATAACGTGCTTCTCAGATAAGATCAAATTCAAGGAGTTCATCATCACCAAGCCCTTATTATATGAAATGTTAAAGGGACTTATCTAAGAAAAAGAAGTTAAAAAAACATGAACAGTGAAAGGACAGCAAACTCACAGTTATTAACAACCACACCTAAAACAAAAGCAAACTAAAAGGACAGCTAGATCAGGAGTGGAAACATAGAAATGAAGATCTCAAGGAGGGTTAGCAACAGGGGAGTGGGAGGAGGAGAAGGGGGGAGAAGGTACAAAAAAATAAGTAGCATAGACAGTAGATAGAAAATAGATGGGGGGGCAAGAATAGTATGGGAAATATAGAATCTAAAGAACTTGAGACACATGGTCATAAACTAAAGGGGGGGTAGTGGTGGGGACGGGGGGTAGGGTGGAGGGGAATGAAGGGGGGAATAGAACGACTGTAACAGCATAATCAATAAAAAAATAAATTTAAAAAAAAAAGAAGAGCAATTGAAGTCTAAGGGGACCGTAAGAAAATAAATAAAAATTAGAACAGAAACCAACCACAATGAAAACAGAAAAAAAACGTAAGAAAAGAAAAATCAATGAAACCAAAAGCTGGTTCTTCAAAAAGACCAATAAAACTGACGAACCTCTAGGCAGGCTACCCATTCATCACCCTCAAAAAGGGCGGAGAAGACCCAAATCACCTGTATCAGAAACGGAGGATGGAACATCACCACTGTTGCTGTGGACGTTAAAAGGATAAGAGAGAAATACTACAAACAGAACCCGAGATGAAATGGACCGATTCCTTGAAACTACCAAAATTCCCACGCAAAGACCCATACACAAATGTTTACAGCAACTGTCCTCAAATGGCCACGATCCAGAAGCAATGAGATGTTCCTCAGAAGGTGAGTGGATGGACAAAATGTGACACAACCACACAATCACACACTATTTTGCAAAACGGAGAAGGGGGAGAGGAAGGAAGGACACGTGAGTGGGAGGAAGAAGTGGGGGAGGAGGAGGGAGAGGCGAGGGGGAGGGAGGGGTCAAGCTACACAAAACAAGGAAGAATCTGAGGTGCATTTTACTAAGAGGTCGGCTTGAAAAGGCGCCTGCTGTACGGTCCCCGTTACACGACATCTGTGTCCTGGAAGAGTGAGCATACAAAGACGATAAACAGATCGGTGGGTGCCAGGGGCTCAAAGGCTGGGGAGGGTGAGGTTGAACAGGCAAAGCACAGATTTGGGAGGGGAGGGCAGTGAAACTGTCCGGTGTGACCTTAAAGAGGCAGACACACAACACTGCTTCTGTGGAGCCCATAAACTTAAACTAACAAAGAGTGAGATGTGTATGCATGTATGTATCTCACCTAACAAATGCCCTCTGACCATGACCCTTACCTTAAGGTGCCGGGTGCCATATGGACAGGGTGGGGCAAAACGAGCTTTTTCACAGTTGCTCGTGTGGAAAAGTAATGCGCAACCAACAAACACTGACGCAGGAGTAAACTCTGCTTCCTGCGCTCACAGCCGCAAACCTACTCTAGCCCTACCCTGTGCATTGGTTTCCAGGATCAGAATGAGCTTACAGGGTTGAGTCCTCCACTGTTTTTAACCCTCACCCGAGGATATGTTGGGGGATTTAACTGACTTTGGTGGAGGAGAGAAAGGAAGAGAGAGAGAGGGGAACATCAGTGTGAGGAACATCAATCAGTCGCCTCCCATACACGCCCCGTGTGGGGATCGAACTCACAACCCAGGTATGTGCCCTGACCAGGGACTGAACCTGCAACCTTCTGGTGTACGGAACAACGCTCGAACCCCTGAGCCACCTGGCCAGCAGTCCTCCAATAATTCCTGTGCGTGGAATGAAAGGACACAGATTTCTGTGGGTTTAGTATTATTTGTGCATGATAACTACTTTCTCCTCACTTCTGCTTCTTCATTAAGTAATACAAGTTTCACTGAAGGCTACCTTAAGTGGAGTCTAGCCAACAGTGCTCACACGGAAACGCACGGTGAAGGGTGTATGTGGACGCAGGGCACACCGTCAGAAGGGTGGATTGGGCCAGTGGAGGTAGGCTCCGAGAGTCAAGTGCATGCTCCAGATTTGACCTGGGTGGTTCTCGGTCAGGGGCTGGGGTACTGGGCAACCCCTACTGTCTCCTGGCAATGTCTGGAAATGTTTGTGCTTGTCACAACAGGGGATACTACCAGCATCTGGTGGGCAGAGGGCAGGAGCGCTGCTGAACACCCTAGGGAGCAAGGGCTGGCCCCCAGCAACAGGGAGGTAGGTATCTGGCCCAAAATACCGCCAGTGCACAGTCTGAGAAGCATGTCCCATCCAGCTGTGCAAGGGCTGGGAATCTACATACCACGTTTTTCAAACTTGGATAAATCTTGGAAATCGCACAGAAAAGTCTTCAGTCTCAATTAGGAAAGACATGCAAGTAAAAATGAGATGCTACTTTCTAACAATCGAATTAGCAATATTTTAAATGCTCATTGAAGTACAAGTATTGATCGTTGAGTGATGCATTTATCACTGATGAAATTATAAAGTGTAGGTCATTTTTACATTTGACCGTGACACAGAAGCCTTAGAAACCTGTATACCCTGGTCACCTTCTCTAAATCAGAGAACAAATATCCTACAAAAATGACAAATAAGGTGAAAACCTCAGGCATATCCTAAAGCAAACTCGAGAAAGTAGTAAAGACAGGAACAAACTATATAGAAACAAGTATGGAGGAGAAATTAATTTTGTATGAAACACTTAAATAAAATTTCTTATAGAAATTGAGATGTAAGTTTGACTTTAAAGACCAAAATGTCAATGGCCTAGTACTGGAATATTTTCAGCAGAAAGCTTGAGTCTCGGGAAACTGCACGAGTGTTTATTTTCACTTTTCCACAATGACTAGCATGCGGAGCAGCTGTACTAATGCACGCCAGCTGAGGCGGCCAGAGGAAGGTGATTAATTCTGAAGGACAGGCTAGGGCTCTGAGCCCCCGGAGATTAACCTGTTCTGCATGCAACGGAACGTCTGTGAGCCAATTCTAGAGGCGGGGTGTAAAACCGTTTGGAGTAGAGGGGGAAAAACTACAACCGTGGAGCCCAGAAATAAGCGTTCCAATAATGGCTTCACCTGGAGCTGTGGAAGTCAAAGGAGAGGAGAACCAGAGGCAGAACCCTCTGCGCCAACCACCTAGACCGAACTGGGACCCTCAGGGAGAACGGAAGGGTAAAACCTCCACCAGCCTTCATCTTAATGACAGGGAGCATGGGGGAACAGCCCTGGGAGGATGCAGGGCTGAGCTTTTTGTCGGACAGGCTGCCTTCGAGAGCACCCTGACATGGAGGCGATCATAAGCGGAAATTCAAACCTAAGCCTCAGAGGGAAGTTAAAAGAAAACATCAAAATTATGGTCTAAGTGGCGTGGACGTAGCTGCAGGGGGGCTTAAGGAATGAGGAGCGTCGAATACACCAGGGAACAAGCACTGTGCCTCTGGTGTGAAGGCAGAGCCTGGGAAGGACCTGAGAAACACCGCGTCAGAGACCCTCAAGAGGGCGTTCTGTCCAGTGACAGCAGGGCCCCAGAGACTTGTGTCAACCATGGGGGTTCAGGCAGGGGCCATGAGACTTAGCAGTAAGTAAGGCATGAGGGTCTGTAAGAGAGCGGTCCTAAAATGTGAAGAGTCTGGTAGTTCCTGGAGTTAAACATAAATTTACCACAGGACCCCGCAATTCCTACCCGAAAGAACAGAGACTCCAACCTACACGCAACCACAAACTCACAGCAGCATTATGTTTAGTAGCCAAAAGGAGGGAACAGCCCACTCCCACCAGCGGATGAATGGGTGAACAAACCCTGACCGACGGTGCAGCCACACCGCGGGGGAGGTCACATATGTGCCATACATGAGCAGGCCTTGAATGTTACGTAAATAAGCCAGGAAGTGGGCACAAGCCCACTTCCGCCAGGTCTCCAGAACAGGCCAGTTCACAGACAGACAGGGGTAGGAGATGGGTGGTGACTGCCCAGTGCCTACGGTCTGTTTGGGGTGATGGAGAACTTGGAAGGAGGCAGTGGTGATGGTGACACGACACTGCAAGTGTCCTTAACATGTCTGCAGTGTGTGCTTACAGTGGTCAGGATGGTTAACTTTATATCCTTGCCGGGTGGCTCAACTGGTTGCAGCGACACCCCGTAAACCTAAAGGTTGCCCATCTGACCCCCGGTCAGGGCACTTGCCCCAGGTCAGGATGTGTACGGGAGGCAACCCATCCCTGTTTCTCTCCCTCCTCCCTTTCCCCTCTCTCTGAAATCAGTAAACATGTCCTACGGTGGGAGTAAAAAAAAAACAGAAAAAAATCGTATCACACAGTCACACCTCAGTACTTGGCCTTGGAACTCGTTAAACCCTGTACTCGTCGCATCCTGATGAGGAGAAAAGTCTCAGCACTGTGTGCTTGCTGGAGAACTCGTGGCACTTGCCAGAACTTGTACGAGTCAGACACCACCCTGCCAGAGCAGATGCTTCAGCCCTCCTCACCTGTTGGGTACTTGTCAGGTTTCAGCACTCATCACGAGTTCCAGAACAAATTAAGGATGATTACCGAGGTCCTACTGTGTTTTACCACAATTAAAAAAAAAAAAAAAAAAGAACCCCAGTTACAAGGAAACCCACAGAAACTGGCAACACAAGTTGACAGTAGACCATATTGAGGGCAGGTTGTCTGCTCTTGATGTCTCTGAAGGCTGAGGAACAGGTCTCAACACACCGTATTTCTACATAAAAGGAAAGAACTGAGCGAAGGAAAAGAGCCTGGTCTGCCCTGGCTGGTGTGGTTCAGTGAATTGAGCGCCAGCCTGCAAACCAGAGGGTCCCCAGTTCCATTCCCAGCCAGGCAGGGCACATTCATGAGTTACAGGCCAGGTCCCCAGTTGGAGAGGGGCATGAGAGGCAACCCTCTCTTTCTCTTTTCCTCTAAAAATAAATAAATCTTTAAAAAAATAAAAGCATGGTCCAAAACTGTGATTTGGGGGAGAAGAGCAGCAGCACAGTATTTTTTGTGGCTGCACCGGAGCATGAAAGCCCACGTAAAGTTACAACTTCATTTTATGTGGAAAGCCAACCAAAAGGAATGTGGGGCCAGATCGTCGATTACAGGGACGACGCTGTCCCGTCAGGTGCGCATGAACATCCTCAAAAAGGTGAGGTCTATCGGAATTTGTATATATTTATACTTGTGTATATTCATCTGGACGGCACATCAATTCTAAGAATGCGGTAAATTGTGCAAGACCAATAACCCAATTTCTTCAACTTGTATATTGCAAAAGAAACGGAGAGGAAAAGGCTCATCAGTGGCCCGGGTTAAAATACTGATTGGCACAAAGCAGCCATAAGAAAAAAAAAATTTTTTTTTTTTGGTGAGACTTGGTGGGCAATCTTTGGTGAGATTAGCGGGCACCTGGGGCTGGGTCCGGGAGGGGGCGCGCTATTCGATCCTCTCTGGGTTTTGTTTCGAATTTCCCGCAACCCTCCTGGACACTGGGCAGGGGAGCCGCAACGGGGGCACCGGCGAATGGCCCCCGGACCCGCGTCCACTACCGCGGCGACCCGCACCCACCTCAGCCGAGCGTGAGCCCCACCGGAAATCACTCGGGGCGGGCGCCGAGGTCTCCAGCGTCTCCTCGGTCCAAGCCCGCGCCTAAAGAACCGCGTTCCGGGTGCTGAACATCAGGCCCGACCGTCAGACACTGCGGGGGCCCGGGCGCATTCCACAGCACTCGGGCCCCAGTGTCCCCGCCGCAAGCCCGAGGCGCTGAGGGGGGACGGTGGCCGCGCGGGGCCATACACCTCAGCCTGGCTGCGCACTACTCACCCCCACGCCGGCAACACAGGATCCCGACCTTCTGGGACTCGGGCTGTGGCATTTTCTCTCCCGCCACAGCCCAGGTCCGCGCCGCACTACTCGCAGCGGGCGGAGCTGGCTGAGAGGAAACGCGGCGCCGGGAGTGGAGGCGGTAGCGGGCTGGCGCAGGCCCGGGGGGCGCTCCCCAGCTGCCCGCGCCGTAGCCGACGCCGGAGCGTGAGCGCCCGCCGTAGCGGAAGCCGGAGCGTGAGGGCCCGCTGAGGCCACGTGACGGAGGCTCCGCCCCCGCGCGCTGCGGGTGACGTCACTGCCCGCAGGTACGCGCCGCAGCCCCGCGGTGCCCTTGGATGTGCGGTCTGTCCCGGGCGGTGTTTGAGGTTTTCCTTCGTGTGAGAGCCCGCGTCAGACAGACCCTTAGACATAGGAGAAGTTGGTCAGCGCCACCTACGACAAACGAAGTGCAGGTTGGAATGTAAAGGTGGAGGCTCCGTGCACCAGGAAGCTGTGCAAATACCTCCTGGCTCGGTGGGGGGAGTGCAAAATCTGCATTTTGTCGAGAGCTCGAATGACACTGAAATGCCCTTTGCAGAGTGGCACTGTGGTTGAACCCAGAGTCAATAAGAGCTCAGTAAGTGTTAACTCTTAATTATTTCATACTGGTGTGTCTTAGCATACATTCCTAGAAGTATGCTTTAGTATCAGCTCCACAAAGCTGATATTGGCAACATCTTTTCTGATTACTTTAGAATTATTCTCTCCAATTTTAAAACTGGAAAAAAAAAGGTTACTACAAGAAGATGCTCTGCATTTAAACAACTATAATTCTTTTTCCTTCTGCTATAGAATTTCTATTTTGTATTTTACTCTAATTGTAATAGCTTTATGGGTTCATTAGGATCAATCTTTTATTACTTTCTGGAAGCAAGTAAGGCATAAATATAGGCCAAGAGCATAATGATAATGTTGTGCTTAACTTTGTGCTGCTAGATGGACCTTTTAAAGGCTGGATTGAATATATGGCGTCATATCTATAATATATGACAATAAGCTTTTCCTATGTCCTTCTGGCAACAGATTTCAATAGAGTATTTTGCTAAATACATAGGTGTAAAGAGATTATAAACTGGTTCTTTTTTCTTTACCTTGGCTATATCCAAGAACACAAGCCCCATGAAGAGAGGGGCGTTTGCCTGCTCTATGGTGTGTGGCTCCCCAGCCCCGAGGCGATCACTCAGTTGTTGAATGAATGAGCTTAATAGACTGGTCCGGTTGTTTCTCACTGTTAAAAACCAGCGTGTGTCTTCTCTAGCATAGTCTGTACTTAGTGACCCTCTCCTAACTCCCCCTCCAGTCCATTTTCCTCCTTTCTCATGTGTCCCTTCACCTATTTTCTCATTCTCTGTCTTTGTAAATTAAATACATTTCACTTTCCTAGCCACCTGCGCCCGGGTTAGTTCCACAGTCAGCCCTCTAACCTGAAGGAGGTTCATTGGACATTTGGGAGTGTGTCCACACGGGATTGATTTCGAACCCACCTGCCTCTTCCCCAATCCCAGCTAAACAGTTCTTGAGTCAGAACACAGCTCATGCTCAGGGCACGCAATCCAAAAAGTGTCAGGAGCACTGTAGACCAGAACCATAGGAGGGGACAGGCATGAAAAAGGCAAAATCAGAATCACGGACAAAGGAGTGTCTCCCTGTCTGGTGTAACTCAGTGGACTGAGTTCAGGCCTGCGAACCAAAGGGTTGCTGGTTCAATTCCCAGTCAGCCCACATGCCTGGGTTGTGGGCTAGGTCACCAGTAGAGGGTGCACAAGACACAACCATACATTGTGATTTCTCTCCCACTCTTTCTCCTTCCCTTTCCCTGCTCTCTAAAAGTAAAATCTTTTTTTTTTTTAAGAGAAAAAAAGAAGTGTCTCCAAGTGACTGAAGGGCAGACAGGGACAAAAGGGATGTGGTCCGGGGCCCCCAGGCAAGTGGACCTGATGGCAGACACTCAGGAACACAGCTTAGCAAGACGTCAATGCCAGAATCCACATGGGCAGCAAGAAAGGGGTCCAATGAGACCAAACGGAAGTGGGTACAGCCTACCAAGGCTCTCTGTGAGTGTCCTGCAGAGAGACCACTGGGCCAGGTCACACGTCTGGGGTAGGACTAGAAATGGCGAAGCCTCCAGGAGTGGGGCCGTCCCTGTGGCCCTCCCAGGACCGAGTGTGAGTGTAGCAAACCACTGGAGGTCACTGTCTGCGCAGCAGTGTGCATTTCTAAGGTTCAAGGTCTTGCCCTCCCAGAATTTTAGTGGCAGAGGAGAGACCACGTATTAAGTGCTAGCATTAGAGGAAAGGAAAAAGGTTCCGGTGTGGACTCCTCTGGTTGTATTTCCTGTTGCATTTCATATAATGGCATGCTGTTCCAAACCTGTACTCTGTTCTCTGTGTGGGAGGACTCGGGGGCTTTTTCACCCTTTATTGATGAAACCACGTGTTTTCATTGGTTGCCCTTCGATGCCTCCAGTTCCGGGAAGATAGTGTCCAAATACCACTGAAATGACTTGCAACCCAGTCGTTTCCTTAACTCAACACGCTGGCTGATGTTTCCATAGGGAACGGCTTTCAGACCAGGCCTTTGTAAAAAGAACTGCTCCTGAAGAGAAATAAAGAGTTTCATTAGACCAGACAAATCTCTGGTCAGCAAAATCATGACATCCAACATGGTGGTGTATGTATTCTCACCCTCTGAACTTAAAACAAAAACCTTCCGACTTCCTCTGCCTAGGGACACACATAGAACCTGGGACTCACCCACCCCACACGGATGCAGTGTGCGCTGCGGTGGATGGACAGCCCACGGAATGGGTGGGGCATGTTCCCTTGCTCCTACTGCCCCCATACCCTCCCCCATTCCAATCAACACTTGCACAATTTCTGGAATGGGGGATGGTGTGGGGGATCAAGGGCACATCGGCTGTGGAGGAAGACAGCCTGGGTCCCGCGGCTGGCTCTGCTAATTTTATTAGCTAGGTGACCATGGCCCCTACCCTCATGAGGTTGTTCTGAGAACCAAGCACTTCCACACACACAGAGCCTTTGGGAGACGCAGACCAGCACATGGTGTCACGCTGGTGTCAGCCACTATTATTGGCCCCTCCCCCATTGGTGTTCTGTGAGCTCTGATTGAAGGAAGCCCCAAGGATGTACGTCTGACGCACTTGCTCCGCCCCCTGTTCAAAGCACTATTGGAAGTCAACTAAAGACCCCTCGTGTGTTCCCCTTTGTGTTCCCAGGGCCAAGCGTGTGGCAGAGAAATACAGTCGAGGGAGAGGGGCTTGATTATTTAAACCAGCGCAGTATGAGCTGCCACATAGGATCCTCCCCGGGGATCCTTGGCCACTGGAGGTCTTCACCATCTTCTCTTGTCACTCCTAGTTCCCCGCTGTGGTTGGTACAGGGGGTGGGCCTGAGGGTGGCGGAGGGGTGTCATCATTTCAGAGTGAAAGCAGAGAAGTCCTTCGGCAGCATTTCCCCGGGTGAAGCCTTCTCTTGCTCAATGTCACTCACTGAATTCCCCACTGTGGGGTCTCATACAACCCGTCGACCACGCCAGACGTGACCTTCCTTCTCAGTGACGTGGATCTCTTTGGCGCTGGGTCTTCTGTGATACTCAGTAAAGTCAGTCCCAGTTCTCTTTAAGTCAGCCGTTCAAATCTGTGACCAGAGTTCACAAGTGTGTTCACAAGGACCCCTACGCAGGGGTTTAGTGACGGCTTCGGGGCTTAGAAAGCTTGCATTTTACTTCACCCTCTTCCTTACTGTAGCACTTTAAAAAGTGAGTATTATGTCTTATCTTTTTAAAACCGATTTTTAAAAATCAGGAAATACAGGAAACATACAAAAGGCACATAAAATGTAAATGTGCAACTTCATAGATTATTGAAAAATCACCATTGGTAATGCTGACTAGGCCAAGAAATAGAACATTACAAGAACCCTTACAAGCCCCTGGTCTCTCTCTTTCCAGTCATAATTCTTTCTCTTACTTTCACATGCTCCTGATTATGGATTCATTTCTTTGCTTTTCTTTCTAGCTTTGATATCTAAATATGCATACACAGATGATATAATTTCACTTTGCCCATTTTTAACTTATAGAAAAATACAGTGTATTTCATTGTGTTGGCCTGCTCTGGTTCACCGTGATGTCTGCAAGACCTACCTATACTGTTGTATGTGTGTCTACAGTTGGTTAATTTCTGTCGGAGCAGCTAAACACGTCGCATTTATTCATTCCATTTTTGTTGAGTGTTTGGGCTGTATTCCTTTGGGGGTAACGAGCAATGCTGTTGATAAACATTCTCGTTGTGTGTCCTGGCACACACAAAAGCATGCATTTCTTTCCAGTGGAACTGTTGAATGACGGGACAGTCATACCTTTTATTCAGTGTTGCCCCACCGTCTTCCGAAATGAGTTTGTAATAATCAGCACCCACCGTGAGTGTCTGAGAATTCCTGTTGCTTGCCGACACTTGGTCTTATCAGATTTGTGTGTGTGTCTGAATCTAGGTGGCTATCTATCTAGAAATATCTCCCTGAGGTTTTAATTCACATTGCCCTGCTTGCTAAACAAAGTTATAATATTACTTTTATAAGTTAACATAATAAAGAAATATTAGGTCAAGGCCAAGACAATATCCCTGAGAGATCCATACATATTTCCACCCATATATCTGAAAGGAGGACTTTTGGGGTGTCTGTCCACATGGGTTGTGTGTGGATTCCGGACAGACTGCTTTCACAGTCCATGTCCTCTGCGTGCGCGCCCTTTCAGGGCCTGGCAGGGGCTTAACCTGGGGCAGGGGGCTCCCAGGTCAGCAGCAGCCCCGTGGTCAGGAGCTTAGTCGTGGAAGAAGAGAATCTAAAAGCTGCCTGTGGGGATGGGAATGGGGAGAGGTCCAGTAGACCTGAGCAAACAAACAACAGACTTCTCAGGTGGACTGATTGATTCCTAAGCATCCTGAGTTTTCCTAGACGTGGAAAGAAAAAGTAAGGTACAAGCGTCGCAGCGCAGAATGAACTCACTGAGACCCGTCAGGGTCTGACGAGGGGAGGGACCGTGGAAGGGGTGCCACTCGTTTCAGGAGCATCGAGAAAAGAACAAAACCCGGTAACCCGAAAGGCCGTGGACGACTTCCTCAGGGCAAGCCCCACGGCGCCCCCCACCCCCACCCATCTTTTCACATCGGACCCGCGTCCTTTACCTTGTATTCGTCCAGCCAAACGTGCACCAGCCTGAGGTTGTTATGCACCAGGGCTCTGAAAAGCTCGGTGTGATTTTCGGTGCTGTGCTTAACAATGTGTCCAACTCGAGAGCAGGGCAGCACAAAGAGCTGCCCCCCGCACATCCAGATCTAGACGCAAGAAAAAGAGAAGATGTGCTCGTGTATGTTTGTCGGTAACAGGCACCTGCTGGGTTTTTTTTCAGTCCTCACCCGAGGAACTATTTGTTGATTTTAGATATAGACAGAGAAACATTGATCAGTGCCCTCCTGTACGCACCCTCACTGGGGAGTGAACCCACGACCTAGGCACGTGCCCTGACCTGGGATCGCACCTGCAACCTTTTGGTGTCTGGGACGATGCTCCAACCAGCCCCGCCACCTGGCCAGGGCCCGCTGCTGGATCTTTGTACAGACATAACAATAGCTCACATTTATTAAGTTCCTTATTTCACTCAGTCCTCACAACAACCCTATAAGGTAGGTGCTGTGATTATGCCCATTTTGCAGGTGGAGAAACCAATGCCTAGATTGGTTGAGCAGCTTGCCCAGCCACACAAGGGTGGGAGTGGCCAGGCACAGGACTCAAAGTCGGGAAATCTGGCCCCACAGCCAGGAACACTAAGCAAATCTGCCTTTCTCATACGTGACCCATTCTGACACCATGAGAAGCGTGGCATGATACATTCGTCTTAAGATACCCTCAAACAATATAAGAAAATATTACACTGTGTTAACCCCCAGCATGGCTTCAGAGGTGCAAAGTAGCTGAGTGTCAGCCCCGAGCCCCAAAGAACACGCAGGGTGAGGGGACAGAGTTGACAAGAGCCACCTCAGGAACACCCACATTTAAGAGACACACAGAAGAAAGTTCCCCAAAGGGAACTGAGCGCCAGCAAGCAGTGGAAGGGCAACCAGAAATGTTCTCCTAAAATCCCAGGAAACTTCTGGAAAAGATGCTCTACAGCGTCAAATGCTACAATAACCTCAAGTATATGGAAGACCAAAAGCCATCCACTAGGGACATCAATATTAAACTGGCGACAGCTTCCCGCCCCGGCTGCTGTGACTCAGTGGATTGAGAGCCGGCCTGTGAACCAAAGGGTTGCTGGTTCAATTCCCAATCAGGGCACATGCCTGGGTTGCAGGCAAGCTCCCAGTGGGGGACACAGGAGAGGCAACCATACATTGATATTTCTCTCCCTCTCTCCTTCCCTTCCCCTCTAAAGATAAATGAATAAAATCTTAAAAAATATATTAAAGCAAAGATAATCACTACATTTGAATAATAAGTTAGCTGTTATTCTCTATCTGGAAGGAATATAGAGCCAGAAAGAAAAAATATAAGTGCTTTTCAAATATGCCTGTATCACTCACAAAACTGATTTTAGTCTGAGGTGGAAGAAGGTGCTAATGAAGCGATCAGGTCCTAGAAGGGGGAAATTCCATACACCGTTTTCTCAGAGGAAAGTAATGAAATAAGGAAGAATCAGCCAAACAAGGAAAGGCAGCAAAGGTGTGGGTGTTATGATATAGACACTGATCGGAAGGGAAGTATGAATGGAGATGAAGAAACAATGAAAATAATAGTCCAACAGGATGCGTCTACATAGGGGCCTGGAAGGAAAATATACTTCTTTAGATGGTCCTGTATTTAAAATAAAGTATCTGAAGGTTTATGAAACAAATCTACACTTATAAACAGTGAACTTATAAACAGTGAACAAAGTAACCAGCCAAAACAAGAGGGAGGTAAAATCCAAAGCAGAAAAAAAAAGAAAACATTGAAGAGAAATACAGTAAACAATTTAATACATGCTAAGACAACATGAAATTCAAACTATGACTTCCGCAGGTGATGTCACAGAGTAAAAGGCACAGGTGGCGACATTTAAACTACAATAGCAATGGCTGTCTCTTATTAACCAGGTCCTACGAATTCATCAATTAAGCTGTTTTTTCCAGACCAACTTTCCTGATTGGGCAAAGACACAAACAAGGCAGAAAAGTGAGAAAACAAATGTTAAGAGTAATAACAGTGAGATCGCAGCCTAGATTTTTAGGCACAGTCATTTTAAAAATCTATTAGGATTTAGTAAAAAACAAATACCTATGATAAACATTTGAACAGTACCTTATATTTTCTTTGGTCTCTCTCTCCCTCTCTCTCTCCAGGAATATCTAACTTTGTACTTTATTATCTACCTGAATTGTCTCATGAAGTCTTCACAATTTCTGAGGATGGCATTCATATTTATTCCTACTTAACAGGTGAGGAAACTGAGACTAGGAAAGTTCATGACTTGCCAAGGATCATACAATGGTAGAGATGGGACTCATTCTAAGGTCTGGTATCACAGGATTTTTTTAAAGTTGCATCTGTTTTTAATAACTGAGAAACAATTCACATGCCATATGAAATCACCCTTTTAAAGCATAGCTTTTGGTGAGTTTCAGTACTTCCTCAAGATTGTGCCGTTAATTCCAGAACATTTCCACCCCTCCAAAAAAGGAAACCGGGCCCCCATCAGCTGTCACTACCCTTCCTCCAGCCCCTGGCAGCCTCGGATCTACTTCCCAGGTGTATGGATCCACTAATTCTGGCCATTTCATATGAAAAAGACTCCGAAAAATTAGTGGCTTTTGTATCTGGCTCCTCCCACTTACCAAAGGGTTCTCAAGGTTTTGTTGTAGCAAGTGTCCCAGGATTTAAGAGTCGGGGGAAGACTCAACATCCTCTCCCGAGTCCTCTCGTCTTTCCGGATGGAGCAGCTAAGACCTTAGGTGGCTCACAGAGTCAGTGGCACCTCGGTCCCCTGCCTCCTGATGCTGTGTTACATCCACCACACGATAGACCCCAAGACCCTCAACTGAATCAAAAAAGAGATTCCACCACAGATTAGAGTAGTCTTGATATGCCACATGTTCAAAATAACCTGTGGGCGGACGTTCTGGCATTTTATGAAATCTTTTCAATTACTTTTAATTTTTTTTAATTTTTTATATTTTATCTTTAGAAGGGAAGGAGAGAGGGAGAGAAATATCAATGTATGGTTGTCTCTCTTGCGCCCCCTGCTGGGAACTGGCCTGCAACCCAGGCACGTGCCCTGACTTGGAATCAAACCAGTCTTTGGGTTCGCAGGCCTGCGCTCAGTTCACTGAGCTACACCAGTCAGGGCGAAATCTTTTCAATTTTTGCAACGGGTCTTGTAAATCGTCTATTTCATAGGACACCAGAATGGTACCAGATACTCACGGGGTCAAATGGCATAATTGCCACAGCAGATTATAGGACTTAAGGTTCGATTTCACATTGTATGTACAAAGGTGACTATTTTTAAAAAATCTGAATTACCCTCAGTGAAAGTTCCAAATTTTCTCCTCCCCAGAGGTTCATGTCCTTGTCATACTGTCCAATCTCATTAAAATAATGCCGATTTATAGCAAAAATTCCTCCAGACATAGCAGGGGACCTAAAAAGACACATAAATATTAAATTGATTCTACAGGCTTAGTCATTATGGACTTTTGCCCAATTTATACAATGTTAATAACATAGTTAAAAACGAGAAAACAACCACGTTAGCTAATTCCAAAATTATCTTAATGTACATTTATGTACATAAAGTTACTAAGTTTAAACCACAACTACCTAAAAGTAGGCAGTAACATTATTCAGCTGTCACCAAGATGTATAAGCAACACCTGATAAGTGTAGTTTCGGTCAGAGGGAAAGTTCCCTGCAGACTGTGAGTTTCCCCTGGGGATGACTAACTAACTGACCCAGGCAGTGGGGTTTGGACATCCCCTTTCTAAGAGTGTTGAGTGAATTGCAGTATTTACATCTGGGAAAACTGTTATGTTCCAAAGCATCTTTTTTTTTTGGCCCACCAATACCAGGACCCATAAACACCAAAATAAATCATTTAAAATGAATTACATGTCCATTCATTCATCGATGTGTTCGTATTACCTACGCAGCATCTGTGATGTGTGCGAGATCAATCAGTGAGTCAGCAGGCAAAGGCGGGGGTCGGGACACCAGGTAGAGGGGACGGCAGTGGCCCCAGAGAAAGACCGCGGAATCTGGGGTAAGGGTACAGCAAAGATGGCGGTGAGAGGTGGTCGAATCCCTGAACTGTTCTGAAGATGGAGCCAGCAGATTATGGTGGGATCTGGGGCATTGGGAAGAAAAGGGAGTCGTGGCCGACTCCAAGGCTTTTGGCTCCGTACCTGGAAGACGGAGCTGGCCTGTGCCCTGAGATGGGAATGCTCTGAGTGGAGCTGGGTTTGTTGGGAAGGTTTCGTTTGGGACGTGTTACTCAGCACGCAAATGCAGATGTCCGGAGACAGGGCAAGAGACACATCTGGGGTTCAGAGAGCGGTCAGGGCTGCAGACATGAGGATGGAAGTCGTGGGTATGAGGAGGGGGCGGTTCACTCAGTGAGAAGGGGAGAGGGAGGGTGGGCCCAGGACTGAGACGCAGCACCCGACAGTGAGAGAGAAGAGCGGGGATCCATCCGCGGGGAAGATGGGAAGGAGGAAGGAGGCGGGAGGAAGCCGGGGAGACCGTGGTCGCCCGAGGCCACAGGACAATGCGTGTCAGAGAGAAGGAAGGGACGGCTCAGCAGGCAGACCAGGGAAGACCAGGACTGAGAAGGGAACACTGGGTGTAACAATGTGAAGGCCATTAACAAGTTTTTATTTGGTGGGGGCGGGCAAAGTCAGATAAAAGTGAGTTTGAAAGATGAATTATCCCTGGCCCATGTGGTTCAGTTGGTTGGAGCAACATCCTGTAAATCGAAAGGCGGTGGTTCGATTCCCATCAGGGCATGTACGGGGTGGGGCAGCCCATCCATCAATGTGTCTCTCTCAGTCTTTCCCACTCTCTGGAATATATGTGACGAGAGTTAACACAGATGTAGGCTGTGTACAGTGTTAGGAGATTTTTACCCCTATGGTTAGTGAGACAAAGAGTCGATTGTAAAAGGGCAGAGGTGACCTTGGTGTCCAAAGTCACCAGTAAGTGTGGAGAGGGGCCTGGCGGAAGCCTCTTCAGAAGTAGCCTCATCAACACAGCTGACACTCACAATGCCCAGACTGTTCCCACACTTAAGACAGACAGTTCCCGAGACCAATAACCTAGGAAAATCGAGTCCATCTCAGCCTATGAAGTTATAGACAGATGCCCTTGCGTGACTGTTTTAGAAACGGATTTGGTAAGAGTTCTGCTTGTCTACCCACCACGCCGCCCTTCGGTTCGCCGGCCAGCACGTGCCCTTGCTCCTGAACACCAGGCCCACGCTCTGCAGACCTCTGAGGTCAGAGGGCACCAGCCAAAGGGAGGTGCTGGGAACGGGGTGACATGCTCCTGTTCAGTGCAAGAAACTCAAAACCAACTCAGTTCTACTCTCGCAGACTGTTGGAGACAAGCGAACTTTCAGAAACAAGATAAATAGCAAAATATCATTAAGCCCAAGAGATGGAAGAAATAACCCCTGAAAGCTTCTTTTTTTATTTGTCCGAGGTACCCAATACGCATATTCTATTGTGTTTCCCCTTAACCCGAAGAAATCTCACCGGATGGGTCTGATGGGCCCCTCTGGTCCGTCCATCTCATAAGACAGAACATTATCCCATTTAAATTGTAGGTGCCAGTTGAAAGCTCCTCTTACGACAGGGGAGGGCTTGTATTCCAAGGTCATGGTGTCAATGACGTCTATGATGGGACACACCACCATCCTGCGGTTCTTGGCGACGGCATCCAGCAAGGGTTCCAGCCACACTCTGTTCACCTCGCAGTGGCTGTCCATAAACACCAGCACGTCCCCTGGGGAAGTGAGAGGTAACCGGCATGAATGCTTGTGGGCGGGACCCCTAACCACCCAAGTCCAAGTCCAACACCACCGAGCAGCCAAGCCTTTGCTACGGGTTTGGCCTTCCAGGTGATTTCAGTTCCACTGGGAGCAGAGACAAGAAACACAGACCTCACTTTGTACCAGAAAGGTGGGACCTCGTGGGCTAGCGATGTCCAGAAGGACATCCGCAGTTACAGAGTAGCCCTGGGGGGCGGGGGACGAATTCTAAAGAAGCAGGGAGAACTGAGTGAGGCTGCAGAGAAAAAATACTTCAGCTTGGCTCTGACCGATTAGTTCGATTTTGCAAGTGTCAACTGGGAGGACACCTTCTCTGTTGTTTACTTCGGGATGCGAAGTGCATAATTTTTCGTGCTCTTGAGTTGAAGCTTTACTAAGGGTCTATTTTGCTCAGAGAAGACAGGGAAGATTGGCCCTGTAACTGAAAGGTTGCTGGTTCGATCCCCAGGCAGGGCGTGTGCGGGAGGCAACCGATTGATGTTTCTTTCTCACATCAATGTTTCTCTCTCTCTCGTTTCTCTCTCTCTCGAAGCAGAATAAGTTAACCCTTTAAAAAAAAGGTTTTACCAAAAAAAAAAAAAAGAATAGCTGAACGAATTATGCCTATCTCTTCATGGAATCCATAAGGAAGACCATACTATGATTAAAACTCATGTAAGTCTTACGTGCTGTCATGGGGGAAGTTCCAAAACATTAAAATTAAATTAAAAGCTAAGCCTCGGGACAATAAAGCCAGTGTGATTCCACATACAGAGCGGAGCAGAGTAGGTTTACAGTCGCCAGTCTGTGAAACGCATGAGTTTATTCCTGTATTATTATCAATCGTTACATTGTTTTTCATACGAACAACTGTAAACCTACTTTCGCCCCACCCTGTACGTTTGAAAGTCCTTGAAGTTTTGTGTGTGTGTGTGTGTGTGTGTGTGTACACACTCACACGAATGCATGAAACCAGAGGTCTGGAAACCCACACACCGAGCTGGGCCTTGCACTGCATTCCGGGCGATGACCGAGTACGGTCCGTGTTGTTAAATCAGAGACTACGTTCGTCCATCCAGCCAACATGGGAAAAGAATCAGACGTTGCCTGTACTTGGCCTTCTGCTGGCTGACGAGTCCCAGACTGCAGTGTGCTCTGAGGAAATGCCCTGGACAGAACCGGCGACCTTTGATTCTAGTTTACTATTCTGCCAGAAACCTCTGATCCTGCCCTGGCTGGTGGGGCTCGGGGGACTGAGCGCCAGCCTGTGAAACAGAAACCTCTGGCCGGCCTCCCGGGATTCCTGGGAGCGGACAGCTGGAATGCTCAGACCCCTGGGGACCCGCCCCACCCCCGCCCCACCCCCGCCGCCGCACCTCCCCCAGTGCTGACCACTCAGGGCGCACAGCTGCGTCCCTCCCCGGGAACTGGCCTTGGCAGAGGATGGGGCCGCCTCGTCCAGGGCGCGGCCCCTCCCAGAGGCAGGGCTGTGCTCATCTCCGCCTCGTGTCCCCTTTCTCTGATGTGGCTCTTGGTGGCAGACAGGGGAGTGAGCTGCGCAGGTCACCCGTTCAGGAGGACCTGCTGTGAGGAGCCGACCTGACAGCTTCCATATGTTTGGATCCAGAGCAGCGTCTGCCCCAAGGCCTTACTCTCCCCAGGGGCCTCCAGGAGGACTAAGCACAGTGTGTGGGGGGCGGGGAGGGAGCGCTGCAGCAGGGCGCCTCCAGTGGGCGCTCTTCCCCACCCGCCTGGCTGAGCCTCTCCCGAGCTGTTTCCACCACAAGCCCTTCCTTCCCTCCCTCCCTTCCCAGGTATCGACCGTGAGCTTCAGGTCCACTTGTCTCCTTCGCCCCTTAATCCTTCATGGACATTTCTCCCCGGAACTCTTCCTCTTCTCGTTTCCCCTTGGCCTCGGGGCCTCAGAGCCCCAGAGCAGATGCCCGCCCTGGCTTCAGAGTTTCAGAGTCCCCTGCGCTGCAGGCAGCTGCCCCCCCCCCGCCCCCTCCAGAAATCTTGCTGTCCTCACTCCTGGACAGGCCTGGGCCCCAAGAACACCCCAGCGGGCCCCATGCACGTGCAACCACATCTCAGACTTTGTACCTGGGGGGCACTCACCCTGCATCTTGTTACGGGGAGGCTGACCTGATGGCGCGTACAAAAGGTGATCTTTTATTTGTAATAACAGATTAACATTTTAAAGCAGGGTACTTTCAGGGCAACTCTGTTGCTCGTATGGCTGAAATGCATTTCCAGTCTGTGTTTACGGCGAGGGGAGACAGGAGGGCCCCTGTGCGGACAGTCTCTGCCCCGGAGGACAGGTCTCCGAGAGGGGGACCCGGACGCATGTCGCCAGGGACAGGCTCCTACCTGAGGCACGCGCCGCTCCGATCATCCTCGCTCGGACCAGCCCCTCTCTCCTCCGGTTTCTTACGAGTGTAACTTTTCCCCGAAACTTCTCCAGGTGACAGTCCAGCTTTTCTTTCAAATCATCTGCGGGGGGCGGGGGGGCGGGGGAAGGACGGGACATCCAAAGTTTGGCAACGCGTACATGGTAACTGCACGCGTGCAAACAGCTGGGCGTGATTCCGACCGGCCCCTAAACACCACACTCATCCACAGAGGTAGTCACTTTATAAGAGAATTTTATCCGACGTGAGGGAGAGAATGAACTGTGTTTCAGCCCCGAAATCAGCCGTAAATAGCTTTGTCTCTAGTGAAATACCGCGGTTTTAACAAATCCCTCACACAAGTTTAATAGAGAAGACCCGGGTTTGGGCATTTTGGAGCACGCTGGCTTTGCGAGTAACAAAGGGGCTGCGGACTTGGCGGAGACTCCGAGGCACGTTATCAAACCACGTGAGTGTCAGTTTCCTGATCGGTGGGGAGGGACCCCCTCCGTATCCCTTGTCATCTTGCAGCGGGAGGAGGAAATCCAACAGTCAGTGCACGGCCTGTGTGTGATGGCATCCCTCGTATTCCCTCAAAATTTTGGGCAAAAAAAAAAAGTGCACATCACACAGCAAAATACGGTAGGTCTCAGGTGTGGCTCTGAAAGGCTGGGGGAGGGGCCCCACGGTCCTCCTGGGGCTGCAGTCCCTCTGCTCACCTCGTCCTTCTGGGTGAGAAGGTAGAGCTCCAGTCTAGCAGAAGGTCCCACCTGCCCCCTGCTCATGGCTTTTCTGGGGACTTGTGACCCAGCATGGGGACAACTTTCTCAGAGCCACCTCCTACCAATCAGATAAGAAACCTGACCGTCTCTCCGCATTCCCTCCCATGCACAACACTAGAAATAAATAAAGTGTCTCCCGTAGAAATAAATGTCATGTGTGATGGGGTCTGGCCGACATGTGACATTCCTAAAGGTTGGTGACATTCGCTTCAGTTATATAGCACCTTCGAGCTGACGCCCCCGAGTTTCTGCCCCTTCCTGTTCTTCTTCCTACTTTTCTCCTTCTCTCTTTCCTTCCCAGCCGACAGTGGGTCAGGTCCACAGTGACCGTTATGCGCTCAGGTAGGAAACCTACGAGCAGTGCTGATACATTGTTTCCATGGGAAATGGGCCCCCCAGGGACCTGCAGACTCCAAACCTCTTTCTACTCCTCTGGGTCCTTGCGCCAGCTTCCAGTTTTCATTCAACTTGTAAAACAGACCTAATTTCAAGTGCTAAGCGCAGTTAATCAAGCTTTGTAGTATGACAAGTCTTTAAACTCGTGAGCAAGCAGGAGTAAGCACTTCCCTGTAGCTGGTGCAGTTAGAATTCTTTCATGGGAAGGACCCAGATTCCATCTTCTCCCCGCAGTGAGCCCGTCAGAGCTCCCCATTTCCTCCAGATAAAATTCCACCAACTCCCTTCGAGAGCGGTTGCCTTTCTACGTCTCTGCTTTTATGTCCACAGATCCCTTCAACGTTCTATTCATACATAAACTACATCACATATAGAACTATTCTGAACTTACTGTGTTGTCTCTTGCCTTTGGGCCTTTACAATAAATACTCTTTCCTCCGCACCTCTCCAACCAGCTAACGCCAATCAATCCACCCTTCGGACCTGAGTGTTGATGTCCCTTCTTCCTGAATGTCATCGAAGAGCTCTAACGACCAGGCTGGTGCCCCTGTGCTTACCTAACAGGAGCACTAAGCACCCCGTTTGGCAACACTGTCAGGACAGGGGCCAGATCTTTGTGTAGCCGTAGCCTCGAGCTCAGGGCCCGTCTCCATGGCACCCAGAACCACTTTTTGTGTTTTAAACTAACTCACAGGCCATCAGAGAGAGAGAGAGAGAGAGAGAGTACTGCCTTCAACGTAGATTAGGGAGATTATTAGTCTCCTGTCTTACCAAATTTGCTCATGTCATCCACCAGAATAATTTCTTCAAGGAGTTGGTGTGGGGTGAAACTCATGATGCTGGACACTGTCCGAAGTAAGGCATTAAATTCTTCATTGTGGAAACAAATGACAACACTGGCAGTGGGTAGTTTGGTCAGGTAATGTTTTTGATGGCACCTGCAGGCACACAGAAGAGGAAGAAAATGATTCATGTTTGGGGAATCTCAGTGCCCTGGTGTCCAACTATACTACAAAGCGATAGTACTAAAACAGTATGGCACCAGCATAAAAATCAGACACGTGGGTCAATGAAAGAGAATAGAGAGCCCAGAAGCAACCACAAGTATATATGGACAATTAATTTATGACAAAGGAAACATGAGTATACAATGGGATGAAGACAGTCTGTTCAATAAATGATCTTGGGAAAACTGGGCAGCAGAAGAATGAAACTGGATCCCTAACTTACACCAAACACCTAAATTAACTCAAAATAGATGAAAGACGTGAATGTAAGACCTGAAACCATACAGCTCCTTGGAAGAAAACATAGTCAGTAAGCTCAACAACGTCAACCTTGACAATGATGTTTTTGGATCTGACACCCCAACAAAGGCAAGAGAAGCAAAAAGAAATGAGTGGGACTGTATTCAACTAAAAAGCTTCTGCACAGAAAAGAGAGCCAGTAACAAAATGAAAAGGCAACCTAGTGAATGAGAGAAAATGTTTGCAAATCTTATACCTGATAAGGCATTAATATCTAAAACATATAAAGAACTAATGCGGGGTTCTTCTCTTTCCTTCTAAAGATAAAAATAATATTAAAAAAAAAAAGAACTAATGCAACTTGCCCCGGGCAGGCGGACGAGGTAGGTGAAGCCTTGTCCCGTGCGCCAAAATGTTGCCGGTTCAGTCTCTAGCCAGGATTCGTATGGGAGGCAACCGAGTGATGTTTCTCTCTCACGTCTGTCCTCTCTCTCCTCTTCTTTCTCCCCTGCCTTCCTATCTCTCTAAAATCAGTAAAACATGCCCTCCAGTGAGGACTTAAAAAAAAATAACTCATACAGCCCAACAGCAAACAGACCAAACATCACAATACGATTTTAAAAATGGGCAGAAGATCTGAATGGATATTTTTTCCCAAGAGGACACACACATGGCCCACAGGTCCATGAAAAGATGCTCAATGTCACAAATCATCAGGGAGATTTAAGTCAACACCACAGTGAGATGTCACTTCACCCCTGTTGGAATGGCTATTATAGACAAGACAGAGAATAGCAAGTGTTGGCGAGGACGTGGACAAGAGAGAACCCAGGTGCTCTGTGGCCAGGGGTGAACATGAATCGGTGCAGCCACTGTGGAAAATGGTGAGACGTTCCCTCAAGAAATTAAATCTAGAACTACCTGAACATCCAGCAATTCCACTTCCAGGTATTTATCTGAAGAAAACTAAATCACTAACTCGAAAAGACATCTGCGTCCTCATGTTCACTGCAGCATTATGTACAACAGCCGAGACCATTTAGTGGATAAATGGGTAATATGTGTGTATAAAATATATATTATTTTCCATTAAAAAATTGAACCATAAAAAGGAGGAGATATTGCCCTTTGCAACATGAACGAACATGGAGGGCATTATACTAAGTAAACAGCCAAACAGAAAAAGACGAGTCCATATCATCTCACATGTAGAATCTGAAGACAATAGCAGAACCCACCACCCCCATCCTCCCCCACCCCCTGCAAAAAAAAAAAAAAAAAAAGCTCATAGAAACAGAACAGATTAGTGGTTGCCAGGGGCAGGGAATGGATGAAGTGAATAAAGAGGGGAGGTCTGCAGGCGCAGGGCCTTCCAGATACAAAGTAACTAAGTCTCCAGAGCTGGTGCACAGCGGGCGGGCCACTGTAGTTAATACCATTGACTTCATATTTTGAAAGTTACCAGGGGAGTAGATTTTAAAAGTTCTTATCACGAGGAAAAAACATTTTTTGTAACTATGTATGGTGACCGATGTTAACTGGATTTATTGTGGTGATTATTTTACAATATACACTACTATCAATTCATTATGTTGTACACCTGAAACTAATAGATTGTTACAGGTAAATTATATCTCAATACAAAAATAAAGAGGAGAGGCCTGGCTGGTGTAGCTCAGTGGACTGAGTGCGGGCCTCTGAACCAAACAACCGCAGTTTGATTCCCAGTCAGGGCACATGCCTGGGTCGCAGGCTGGTTCGCAGCAGGGGATGCATGAGAGGCAGCTATACATTGATATTTCTCTCCTTCTCTTCTCCTCTAAAGGTAAATAAATAAAATCTTTTAAAAAATTTTTTAAATAAAAAGGAGAAACATACATTTTATTCCTGGTATCTGGCACAGGTCTTGCTTTGCCCAAGTTTTTACTTATCATGGTATTAAAGCCATACTTCCTAAAGTCATGAAGAAGTTCTGGGTCCATAAGCTTAACATCCTTACCTACAAGAAAAGGTAATGAGAGTCACATAAGTATTGGCTGACAGCCATCATTTTGCTAAAAGGCGATGTTTTTAACTGTATCTACTAAAATTTATTTCTGTGAAAAACAGAACACTGTCTGAGACAAGTATAACAAACTATTTAAAAACTGTTAACACAATGAGATAACCACCTCTACCATTGAGAATGGCCATCATGAACAAAGCAATAAACAACAAGTGTTGGAGAGGTTGTGGGGAGAAGGGGACCCCAGTGCACTGTGGGTGGGATTGCAGACTGGGGCAGCCACTGTGGAAAACAGCATGGAATTTCTTCAGAAAACTAAAAATGGATCTGCCTTTTGACCTGACAATTCCAATGCTAGGATTATATCCTAAGAACCCTGCAACACTGATCCAAAAAAACCTATGCACCCCAATGTTCATAGCAGCACAATTTACAATAGCCAAGTGCTGGAAGCAGCCTAAGTGTCCATCAATAAATGAATGTATCAAAAAACTATGGTACATTTACACAATGGAATTCTATGCAGTAGAAAAAAGGTGCCCCTACCCTTTCTGACAGCATGGATGGAACTGGAGAGCATTGTGCTAAGTGAAAGAAGCCAGGCAGTGAAAGACAAACACCATATGATCTCACCTTTAACAGGAACCTAATCAGCAAAACGAGCAAGCAAGCAAAATATAACCAAAAACATTGAAATTGAGAACAGGCTGACAGTGAGCAGAGGAGAGAGGGGAGGGGATAATGGGGGGAAAGGGTGAAGGGTTTACAGGAACAATTATAAAAGACACTTGGACAATAACAAGGGGCGTGGTGGAAACAGAGGAAGGAGGGGGAGGGCTGGGGTGTGGGGAGGGGTGGAGGGATAAGGCACAAAACTGTACTTGAACAACAATTTTTTAAAAAGCTCTTAAAAAACCATAGGTAAGCCTTATCTACTCTGCTTATCCACTGGAATATGGATTGTGCTTATGCATTATGAAGACATTATACCGAGTGAAATAAGTCGGTTACAAAAGTATAACCAGTGCAGGGGGTGCCTAGAGTAATCAAATTCATAGACACAAAGTAGAAAGGTGGGTCCCAGGGGATGGGGGCTGGGGACACGGAGAGCTACTGTTTAATGTGTGTGGTTGGGGAACATGAGAAAGTCCTGAAGGCAGATGGTTATGATGATAGCGCAACCATGTCAATGCATTTATTCCACTTAGTGGTGCATTTAAAAATGGTTAAAACGGTCAACTTCCTGTTATGTATATTTTACTACAATAAGCATATTTGTTAAAGAAAAATCCTTAAATTTAGGTGGTTAAATGCATACATACCTCTTTCATTTTTTTGTAGGTAGAATATGAAATACTTCATAATTTAAGAAATGAATTGATATGAAATATATATTCTCTTCCTCTTCCAAATGTTACATTTATGGCCTATTTTCCCCTTAAAAAAAATGGCTAAAAGAGCCCTCACTGGTGTGACTCAGTTGCAAGTTTGTTTTGCAAAGCACAAGGTCACCAGTTCAATTCCTGGTTAGGTCGCGTACCTGGGTTGTCGTTTGGTCCCCCATCAGGACTTGAACCAGAGGCAGCCAATCTGTTTCTCTCTCACATCCATGTTTCTCTTTCTCTTTCTATCTCCCCTCTATTTAAAAATAAAATCTTAAAAAAAGAAAAAAAGGCTAACAGAGAACTTCGAAACGCTTACCTGATTTTAAAAAGGGACTCCATTCTTTGCTTTCATTCTCATTGGGTCTTTCCTCTAGTACAGAGTATCCTGGTATCTGCCCTGGGCCATGGATAATTGGCGGCTGCAGTTTTTTTCCAAGGGACCAGACAGAGGTAGGCTCCCGGCTTTCCACCTGCCCATCGCTCTCGTGGTCGTGGTGAAAATACACACAGAGCAGTGCCGTCCATGTCCCAAATACCAAGGACCCACAGAGCAGACACTGAACTATGACATTTCTCATCATCAACCCAGCATTTTGGGAAGTCCGGTCTTCAACGTCCTACATCAGGATTTGAGAGAAGCTCTATTAGACTTGCAGTGGTTCGTAGGGTCATTTGCTTGGCTTACATTCGATTTTCAGCCTTTTAAAAATCATTTTGCGCCCTGGCTGGTGTGGCTCAGTGGACTGAGCGCTGGCCGGTGAACCAAGGAGTGGCTGGTTTGATTCCCTGTCAGGGCACATGCCTGGGTTGCAGGCTGGGTCCCCAGTGCCGGGGAGGGGGCTGGGGGGGGCGCTAGAGAGGCAACCACACACTGATGTTTCACTCCCCCTCTGTCTCCCTCCGTTCCCCTCTCTCTAAAAATAAACACACAAAATACCCTTTAAATAAATAAATAATCATTTTTGCTGTTGGCGCTCATCATATACTTTGATAAGACTAAAATGGGACTTCCGCCAAGATGGAGGTATAGGTGGATGTGCCGTGCCTTCTCACACAACCAAGTTTAGGGACAACTAAATATTAGCATCAGAAAACACAACCAGAACACGGAAAATTGAACTTTTCGGAAGTCCGTTAACAACAAATTCTTCAGCCCGACCGGTAAGGGGCGAAACCGGCGTCTGGTGAGGGGTTGCACGGGAGGACTCAGTCGGACGGACCCAGGCGCGGAATCCAGACGCGCAATAGACGCACGGGTTCCAAACGCAGGATTGGACCTAGTGAGCGACCGAGCAACCCACCAGGTGAGCGACTGCAGAGGAGACTGTGGGGAGGCGGTGCTGCGTGTTGATTGCAGTCGCCTATTTGCGCCCGAGCGACAGGCGAGGGAGTGGGCGGTTGGACCAGCCGCCAAGGTAGAGGGCGTCGCCATTTCCCCACTCTGACCACGCCCCCACATACAGCGTCACAACCCAGCGACCTGGGAGTCCAAGGCGCCGCTTCTCACATTTAAAGGGCCAGAACAAACCAAAAATGTCGCAAGAAGACCTCAAAGCCCCAGAGATAAATCTAAGCGACGAAGAAATAGCAAAACTCTCAGACGCACAGTTTAAAACACTGGTCATCAGGATCCTCATAGATCTGGTTGATTATAGCCACAAATTAGAGAAACATATGAAGGCTAAACTAATGGAAATGAATGGAATTCCACAGGAAACCAAGAGAGATGAAAAGGAAACTGGGACTCAAATCAATGGAGTGGACCAGAAGAAAGCAAATAATGGCCAAACAGAAAAGAGTCAAGGAGAAAGAATTCAAAGAAATGAGGAGAGTCTTAGGAACCTCCAGGACATCTTTAAACGCTCCAATATCCAAATTATAGGGGTACCAGAAGGGGGAAAGGCACAGCCACCAGTGGAAAACTTATTTGAACAAATAATAAAGGAAAATTTCCCCAATCTGGCAAAGGAAATAGACTTCCAGGAAATCCAAGAAGCTCAGAGAGTCCCAAAAAAGTTGGACCCAAGAAGAAACACACCAAGGCACGTCGTAATTACATTAGCCAAAATTAAAATGAAGGAGAGAATCCTAGAAGCAGCAAGAGCTAAGGGGACAATCACCTACAAAGGAGTCCCCATCAGACTGTCAGCAGATTTCTCAAAAGAGACCTTACAGGCAAGAAGGGGCTGGAAAGAGGTATTCCAACTCATGAAATCCAAAGACCTACAACCAAGATTGCTCTATCCAGCAAAACTTTCATTTAGAATGGAAGGACAGATAAGGTGCTTCTCAGATAAGATCAAATTCAAGGAGTTCATCATCACCAAGCCCTTATTATATGAAATGTTAAAGGGACTTATCTAAGAAAAAGAAGTTAAAGAAACATGAACAGTGAATGGACAACAAGCTCACAGTTATTAACAACCACACCTAAAACGAAAGCAAACTAAAAGGACAGCTAGATCAGGAGTGGAAACATAGAAATGAAGATCTCAAGGAGGGTTAGCAACAGGGGAGTGGGAGGAGGAGATGGGGGGAGAAGGTACAGAAAATAAGTAGCATAGACAGTAGATAGAAAATAGATGGGGGGGGGGGCAAGAATAGCATGAGAAATATAGAATCTAAAGGACTTGAGACACATGGTCATAAACTAAAGGGGGGTAATGGTGGGGATGGGGGGGCAGGGTGGAGGGGAATGAAGGGGGGAATAGAACAACTGTAACAGCATAATCAATTTTAAAAAATAAATAAATAAATAAATAAATATTTTAAAAAAAGACTAAAATGTACTTTCCCCCCTGTTATCCAAACCACTCTTAAAACTGATATTCACAAGATGACATGACATCAAATTATAGGACCCGCACATAAAGTGTGTAGTATCACGTATGGTCGGGCGCGTTCTCCTGAGCCTGGAGCTAAAGGAGGCAGCGTCTCCTCACCCTTACCTTTGGGTGATGGTACAGGTCTGATCTAAAATCTGATCTAACACCAATCCACCTACTTAAAACATAAAACCTGGCTGGTGTGGCTCAGTGGACTGAGTGCAGGCTCTGAACCAAAGGGTGGAGGTTCGATTCCCAGGCAGGGCACGTGCCTGGGCTGCGGGCCAGGTCCCCAGTAGAGGGCGCATGTGAGAGGCAACCACACATCAATGTTTCTCTCCCTCTCTTTCTCCTTCTTCTCCCCTCTCTCTAAAAATAAAAATATATATTTTTTTTAAAACATAAAAGCTGCAGAATCACATGCTAAAAGGAACAGGGACAATGGATGCGATGGCCCGCCCGCCACCGCTGGGACAGCGTGTGGTTAGGGTGACCACATGCGCACGGTGCAGACCCCTGGGAAAAGAGCCCCAGGAGACTGTCACGAGGCCTGGTCAAGCATGTTGACAGAGGTCAGGTTTGTCCAGACCCTGGACACAGCTCCAGGCTTCCCTCGACGGAAGCCCAGAGAGAGAAAGGGAGGCCGTGCCCCCGACGCCGCAAGTGAGGCAGCCGCAACTCCCGGCGTTAATGTTGTGAAATCTCAGAGAACGATGTTGCCCCAAAACAAACTGGGCGTGACGCTACCTGTAAACATGTAGAAAGCTGGACAGGCAGTGCCATGGTTTGCGGCGACACCATATGCAGCCAGTGATGGGGGGGGCAGGCAAATGGACCCAAATTTAGGATGGCAATGGCTTCCGTGGGGGAGGAAAGTAATAGCTCCTGATGCTTAAAAAATGTTTTAAAAGTCTTTACCTGAGCATATGTTTATTAATTTGAGAGAGAAAAAAACATCAACGTGAAAGAGATCGATTGCCTCTCGTACACACCCCAACCGGGGATCAAACCTAAAACCTAGGTATGTGCCCTGACCAGGAATCAAACCTGCAACCTTTCAATGCTGGGGGTACGGGCAACACTCCAACCCACTGACCCACCCAGCCAGGGTGAGCTCCTGATGCTTTTTGTTTTTTAAAGCTCTGAAGCTCGATGAGGTGTACCCATCATTCGTGATACTTTTCTCTGTATTTCCCTTACATTGGAAATATTTTGCAATTTATGGAGAGAAGAAAAAGGACTTGAGAGGCTTCCTTTCTCCGTGACAGACATCTAACTGTGTTCTCTCCCTCCTCACTCGGCCGGGGATAAAAGTAAAGCTGAAGACCCCCCCCCCCGGGGGGAGGAGAGGAAGTGGGGCCATCCCTGCGTGAGACCGCCACATGGGTCTGGAGGGCGGAGGCCACTGGGTATGTGACAATGACCACAACGAACAGAGGAAGGCCCACTCGGAGCGTGCGCTCACGGGACACTGAAGTGGACCCTGGTGAGGCACCAAAATGGGATTTGGGGGCGGCTTCGAGGGTCCCACAGCTGACAGCCCCTGGCACGCCGCAGCAGTGCACATGTGAAAACGTCACACGTGCGGTGACTGGGGGTGGACTGCTGGTGGAAAGGTGCGTCCTGAGAGGCTCGGGCAGAGCACAGGAATGGGGACTACCGTGGCACCAGACGGCAGTGGCTGGGTGCCCCGACTGCCGTCTGAAAAAGGCAAAGAAAGGCTGAGGGCGGTTTGTCCCACCGAGGGCAAAAACTCAGTCATGGGGGCCCCTGAGAGGCACAGAGAGGGACTCCCCTCCTGCCACCCGAGGGCAGAGAAGGCCGAGAGTCAGGCCTTAGGCTCGGTGACAGGGGACGGAGCCGCAGAGCTTCCAGGAAAGCTGACTTCTCAACCCTGGGGAGGGGGCGACTCGGAGACCCAGGTGGGGACTTCAGCATGGGGACCTCTGGGCCTGCAAAACTGTCCCCATCCCGGTTTAAAGATGTGTCTTAAGGGCCAGGAAAACAGGACCATCAATTTTTGAAATCCTTCCCTCAGTTGCCCAGGGCAATCTTCATACCCATCTCCAAACAAGCCCTACGACTTTCTGATACCACGAAGGGTTCTTTTTCTATTTAATTTTTTTATAGTAAATAACACCTTCACTTGGTATAAATCTTAAGAAGCATAATGACAATTGGCCTTGATTTGCAAGAACTAAATTCACTGTGATGCCCGGTCTGCCTCCAGGGTGGGGATAACACCTTTGGAAAAAAAAATAGATCTTAATCCTAACCCCCCCACCCCCTCCAGCTGGCATCTCCTTGGAGATTCAGGGGTTCGGTGCACTGCTGCTTTGGATGATCCCAGGTGGAGAAGCCTCGCATTCTGCTCAGAGCGCACCCACCTGCCATGGAGACCCGCACTCTGGCTACTTTGTATCCGGTGTCTTTTCTGAGTTTCACGGGCGGAACTAGACGAGTTTGTGCGAGCAGTGATCTGAGAGATGGGATTACTTTTTGAAGGGCTGACTCAGTGGTGTCAGGATTCAGAGTCTTGCCCCCAGGGCTGAGCTCAAAACAAAGCCTGCCTCACAAAGCCCTGTGTGACGTCACACACGGTGTCCCAGCCCCCACAGGCCTCTGCCCGGAAGGTCTGATCAGCAGGTGGAATCCAGGCTTTCCAGAGTTCAAAGGGTTCTTCCAGAAAGTCTTAGAATCCCCACCCCCCTGAGGAAATGGGAAAAGCCTCATCTTGGGAAAATTGAAATCCT